GATAGATAGATAGATAGATAGATAGATAGATAGATAGATAGATAGATCGATCGATCACATGTCTGGTATGACAGTGGCCAGAAGAGGGTTCAGGTCCCCTGAGACTGAAGTTTCACACAGCGGTGAGCAGCTACATTGGTGCTGGGAATTAACCCTGGGTCCTCTAGAAGAGCAGCCAACACTCTTAAACACTGAGCCATCTCACTAGCCCCACTTCTGTCTATCATTTTTCCTTCTTCTTTTTCCTTATGGCAGGATCTTCCTGTGTATCCCTAGGTGGCCTGTTGCTTGTTAGGTAGGCCTCAAGCCCATCGTGAGTCCATGCCTCAGCTTCCTGAGTACACCGCTGTACCCACCCAGCTTCGTTTTAACTGTTATAACAACAATTAAAACAAATCAAATACAAAATTTAAATAAATTCTTGCTGGACATGGGTCTTTAATCCTACCACTTGGGAAGTAGAGGTGAGCGTGTTTCTGTGAGGCTCAGGCCAGCCGGGTCTACATAGTAAGACTCCTTGTGCTAGCTTGCTATTTCTGTGGTAAACACCATGACCAAAAGCATACATTCATTTGTTTATGACCAGAGGGTTTATTAGCTTGCATGTCCTGATGACAGTCCGTCACTGAGGAACTCGCAGAGCTGGAAACCGTGGGGGGAGGCCGCCTGCCAACAGCGCGCTCTCAGACCCACGTTTAGCTGCTTTTTTTCCACCACCACCTGGCCCAAGCTGGCACCATCCACTGTGGGGCCCGCAGACCTGCCCACAGGCCACCCTGATGGAGGCAGTTCCTCGGCTGACACTCCTTCTTCCCAAGAAACAGCAGCTGTGTCACAGTGACAAAGCCAACAACTTGTATACCCCAACTCAGACAGCAAAAATAAACCACTCACTTTGCCCAGTTAATAGTCAGATCCAGTTGATCCTTCCCCAGTTGCAGTTCTGGAGAGCAGGTTTTGAACTACTGGCTTCATCACCATCGGATACCATGGAGAAGTTCCCTTGTTAGGTGGCCCGAGTAGAGTTCCACCCAGTGTGACAGAAACTTAGCAAACAGTGGAATCCTTCGGTCTGTCTCTTCCTCTTCTGGTGGTCGGCACTGTCTAGCCCTGTCTCTAAGCTCTTTGCCTAACTCCCCTGAAATCACACTTTGTTTTAGCTTTCAGCTTAGTCTTCCCTCTCCTGCAGCAGATCTGCCTTGGGGTGTGGGCAAACGTGCAACCACAACGATGGTTTTAACATGGACTTTTCTCAATAGAATGTTCACTCTTAGAAGATGTAACTATTTTCACAGTTGTTTCCTCAACATAGCCTAGTAGCCTAATATTTGTTTAATGAATGCAAATACTATTATAGTTTTTAGTTCTTTTCTAATAAGTGAAGGTAGACACTTCAGCTTTAGTTTCTTTATTTAGAACTAAGTCAGTGTTTGCCTGTCTGTATTTTTTTTCAGGTTTTTTTTTTGGGGGGGGGTTGTTTGGTTTTTGTTGTTGTTGTTTGTTTGTTTGTTTTGAGACAGGGTTTCACCATATAGTCCTGTCTGTCTTGGAACTCATTATGAAGAGGAGGCTGGCCTCAAACTCACAGAGCTTTCATCTGCCTCTGTCTCCTAAGTGCTGGGAGAGCCACTATGTGGGCTAAGCACCTAATTTCTTTTTTCATTGGTTTTGCTTTTTCAAGATAGGGTTTCTCTGTGTAGCCCTGGCTATCCTGGAACTCACTCTGTAAACCAGGCTGGCCTCGAATCCACAGAGATCTTGCCTGCCTCTGCCTCCCGAGTATTGGGCTCAAAGGTTTGTGCTACTGCTGCCCATCTTAAGGCTAATCATTGTGTGCCTTTGTGCTGAGTTTTTGCAGCCGCTGACTGTATGCTGCCAGAGGTCCTAAAAACTGTAGATGGAGACAGGAGGAGTGGACTCTCCTTGCTAGCACTGGGCTGACTGTAATTCTTTGTACTGCTCCAGAAGTGTGCACTGCTTCAGCAGGCAAGGGGCACCTTGTAGTTTCAGAGTGTTATAAGGAGTATTTCTGATGTCTCTGCTAGTTGGTGTGGATGACTACAGCTCAGAGTCTGATGTGATTATTATACCTTCAGCCCTGGACTTCGTCTCACAAGATGAAATGTTGACACCGTTGGGGAGGCTGGACAAGTATGCTGCAAGTGAGAACATATTTAACAGGTATGTGTGCTCTCTTCATCAACGTGAGGGGAAGAGGGGCTCTTAATCTCGGTAGGGCATAAAGTTATCCACCCCAGAGGGAGGTGTCAGGTGTAGCTCGTGTCCCCAGGTTTATAGCCTGATCGGTGTTGTACACAGTCTGTGAGTCATTGCTTTTTGTTCGTTACTGGGCTAATTCGGACATTGAATTGGGTATTCTTCCTCTACCAAATGGCATGACATGCTTCATGTGTGCCCGGGCACAGTGCGCAGCAGTCTCCAAGAGCGGGCATCCTCCTGACACTGTTTCTGAGGTTAAGGTCTCTGTGGCAGGTTTCTTAAGGATTTATTGAATTTTTTGAGTGTAGATAATAAAACTCATTAGTAAATATAACAGTTAACATAATGAAGAGGAGTGATAAGAAGATAACTGAAGTGAAAATTCAGTGACTAAAAATTTCCCCATTTATTTGGATAAAGAAAAATGATAATAACCTTACCAGTAAAGTCATTATCAACTTTTACTTCTTAGAAAATTACAAGTTTAGTATGTGACTTACAATAAGAAAAATTGTCATTATGGAACGTAAGGATTCTGCATTTTAAAATTCTACGTAAGAAGTATTGATGGCACTGAACAGAATTTGATTTTTTTTTTTCTTGTGTAGACAAATGGTGGCCAGAAGTTTGCTGGATACTCTGAGGGAAGTCTGCGATGATGAAAGAGATTGTATTGCTGTTTTGGAAAGAATTAGCAGATTAGCTGATGATTCAGGTATATGTTTACAGAGAAAATAGGTGTATTGTTTCTACAAAGGTTTCTTTTACTAAATTTGTATTTCTAAACCTGTTGAAGAATTACTGTGGTAAGAGACTTCTTTAAGATTTCCTAAGAGTTGACAAATGACCCTGCCTCTAATCCCTCCCAGCACTCTAGAAGAGCCTGTGTTCAAAGCTGTACTGTACTACAGAAAGACTCTGTCTCCCTTTCCCCCAAAAAAGTGATATTTAAGGAAATTATTAAGCCCACTAGTCAGAAAAGAAGAAAAGGTCCAGATAGATTATAGTATGCCCACTTAACCTAATTTTGGTAATTTCTTATCAAATAAATGTAAGAAATTATATCTATCATTTATGTGAACATTTTAGGGTCAATAACAATTTTTAAGTAATTTAGAGTAAATTAAAAGAGGTGGAAAAAGCTTTAAATGTTTTGGGGAAAATACTACTTTATCTGTTCTACATGTAAAAACCCATTAATATTTCTTTTTTGTTTGTTTGTTTGTTTGTTTGTTTTTGTTTTTTAAACAGGGGTCTCTGTTTGGACAGCTCTGGCTGTCTTGGAACTCTGTATATAGACCAAACTGGCCTTGAACTTACAGAGATCCACCTTCCTCTGCCTCTTACGTGCTAGGATTAAAGGGGTATGCCACCATACCCATAATTGAAAATTGGCTTATTGTTAAAACAAAGACAGGAGAGTTTTTCGTAAGAAAGAGGTAAACATGAGGCCGGCATGGTGGTCCACGGTGGTCATCTTAACTCTCAGAAGACCAAGTTGGCCTGCTTTTAGTTTGAAGCCATCCTGGCTGCATACTAAGCTCCAGCTGGTCTGGGTTGTAGAATGAGACCCTGTCAAGAGGGGGAGGGGTGAGCTGGATTTGAAAATTAGGCATTAGTGATGTTGTTTTTTTAAGACGTGTTTTCTATTGTGGTAAAATAAACATAAAATAAGAAATTTTAAGCAAGTGTGTGTGTGTGTGTGTGTGTGTGTGTGTGTGTGTGTGTGTGTGTGTGAGAGAGATCCACTTCACATGAGTGCTGATCTTCTGCTTCTCTCTGTGTGTATTTACATGTATATCCCAAGATGTTCCTAGGACTTCTCTTACATATGTTAAACATATTTTTAGATTTACTTGCTTAAAGGTATATGTACGTGTATGTGCCTGAGCATATGTATATACATCGTTTGCATACAGGAGTCCATGAATATCAGAAGGTGTCAGAGCCGCTGGAGCTGGGGTTACAGGCATAGGTCCTGTGCAAAAGCATAAGAACTTTTAGCTGCTGAGCCATCTCTCTGGCCTTTTTTGTATCTTAGTGTAGGTAGCACTTCGTGCATTTACTTCAAAGGCTCTTTCTTTCTCCTTTCCATTTATAACTACCTTATCCACATGTACAAGGTCTGTCTCTGGAGCTCACGTCTGCTCCCTTTGTCTGTTTGCCTAAGCAGTGCTCTAAAGAAAGAAGAATTTCTGACTTTATTCTTACTGAAACTACAGCTGTGACCCTTTTTGCTTTATCAATATATGGAAACAATTAAATCACTGTTAACTTTATAACTGGAGCCCATGAAGAAAAGTATAAGCCTGTATGCCTGTGCTTTAAAATTAGAGTTTTATTCAAGAGAAGTCTTCTCACATTATACAACAGTGTAATAAAACACCAATTGTGGGGGTTTTGTTTTGTTTTGTTTTGCTAGGAGTCTTAGCTTTGTAAAATGCCAGTGCATTTTCTACTGAAAATGCTAGATTAATTTTCTTTTGGGACACATTCATGTACATTTATGTTAAGGTGACCACTAACACGGTCACTCATAGGTTCTTTTTCTTGAGGTCTGGTGTGACTTGTGACTGGGTCCTGGTATCCTCACATCTGATTTGACTGGGTCCTGGTATCCTCACGCTTGATTGATGACTGTATCCTGGTCTCCTAATGTCTCTTTCAGCCACTGGCTTGTTTTTTGAATTTGCGAGTTTGTTTGTTTGTTTGTTTTCTTATATCCCTTCTGCAATGACATGAATATATTTAACTGTTAGTACATAATTTTCTATGTTGTTTTACCTTTTAAGTGATGAGATACTTGTTTCTATAATGTTTTTATAAAATAAAACTAGTTGTTTAAGTCTGGTTATAATCTTTTATAGATGATATGGTCCTTATAACATGTCCTAGGGGTTTTTACATCATGAAGTCTGCAGATGGTACCCTGATGAAGTATTGACAGAGTTTACCCTGTCCTGCCATAGAATTGGTAGAAATACCACATACAGTAGTTACCCACTTCAGCGTAGCTCATTGTAGATGTCAGTGTATTATTCACTGTAAGAAGCTCTTTATCTAGTGCATACTGTGACCAGTAGAAGTATGGGTTGGGAGTGACTTCCTCCTTTGATTTAAAGCAAGAACTGCAGGGTTAGAGAACATTGTGAGTTCTTACCATGCTGGTTCCTCAAGCATAGATAAGAGCTATGGTCTCCATGAAAGGATGTTTGTTGATGCTACTGTTATTTCAATAGAACCGACTGTGAGAGCAGAGCTGATGGAACAAGTACCACATATTGCACTGTTTTGTCAAGAGAACCGGCCTTCAATACCATATGCTTTTTCCAAGTACTTGCTACCAATTGTGGTTAGATATCTCGCAGATCAGAATAATCAGGTAAGCGTTGGATTTACTTGTCTTTTTTTTTTTTTTTAATTTATTTATTATTTATACAACTTTCCACCTACATGTGTGCCTGTGCACCAGAAGAGGGCACCACATTTCACTATAGATGGTTGTGAGCCACCATGTGGTTGCTGGGAATTGAACTCAGGACGTTTGGAAGAACAGCTAGTGCTCTTAACCTCTGAGCCATCTCTCCAGCCCGGATTTACTTGTCTTAAAGGAATTTTATGTAACATAATATATGTAGAATGGCCTAACCCAAGTGATTTAATTTGATTGTTTTTTTGGGCCTAACTTCATTATTGTATTTTCCAGAAGTGACTTGTTGTCTTAGATTAAAACGTGTTGAGAGTCTTAACAAATTTATTCAAGCCTGCTTGCCAGGCTTCCCAGTGCGCTCAGTGTCCTTCTGTCTGCCAGGCTCACTCTGTAAGAACTGTAGGGAATACCCCACAAATGGCTGCTAGGTTTTGCAAGTCCCTGCATTATTACTAGAAGTGTTTTCCATTTGCAAAAATCACGCGGTACAGATTTTGGTTTGGTTTGGTTTTTCGAGACAGGGTTTCTCTGTGTAGCCCTGGCTATCCTGGAACTCACCATGTAGACCAGGCTGGCCTCGAACTCAGAGAGTCACCTGCCTCTCTGTCTGGAGTGCTGGAATTAAAAGCATGTGCTGCCCTCCTGGTTATTGTCCAGGTTTATGAAAGCATGTCTGTGCATTGTTTATACTGTGGTATTTTTCTTGATAGGTAAGGAAGACCAGTCAGGCAGCTTTGCTGGCTCTGCTGGAGCAGGAGCTGATTGAGCGATTTGATGTGGAGACCAAGGTGTGCCCTGTCCTCATAGAGCTGACAGCCCCCGACAGCAACGATGATGTGAAGACAGAGGCCGTGGCTGTGAGTGTGCTGATCTCCATCTGGGTGTGGGGACATGGGAATAAACGTTGCCATTCACATCCGTGCTTCCTGCGTTCAGAGAGTGAGACAGAACAGTAGTGCACTAACCTAAGACTTCATTCACGTCCACGCGGCATTTGCTCTTTATTCCTAAAACATTGATCTATTGTCCCTAGAAAGGAATTGTAACACAAATCGCCAGTAATTCCAAGTCAGCCATGAGAACAGAGATGATTCTCTAGTTTCTGTCCCTTGAAAAATTCCCTTTTCATTACTGCTTAGAAACAGCCAATTAACATATTTAGATGCTTTTTTCTCAGAAATATTTTTATTGTTTAGATTAGCCATTTAAAGTGCAGTGTTCATTGGCTCTTAGTACATTCACAGCACATAGTCATTACCCCTGCCAAGCTCCAGAACACTTGCTTTTAACTTCAGAAATTCCTCAATAAAGAAAACCAGCTTCGGCAGACTCCTGGTTCCACTAAGGAGAGCCTAGCCTAGCAGCGTAATTATGGTGTTCAGCGATGGTGGGAGGCCTGTGGTTCCCCGATATCTGGTCTGTTTCAGGAGAAAATTAATTCTAATGCTTTGCCTCGATCAGAAGAGCTTCAGATTTCATCTATGCTTCTTTGAAACGCAAAACTGGCCGTAGAAGTTGGGAGATGTACGGATTAGTGTTTGCTAGTAAAATGATTAAGTCATTAATGATTAAATAATAGAAAAATAAACAAGAAATTTTTTTTCCTAGATTTAGTACATTTGCTGTATATTGGTTAATACATATTCCTTTAAATTATTCAGTCTAACTGAAGAGGCCTTAGAGGGATGTTTCCAATATGATTTTTTTTCTCACTTATTTTAGATAATGTGCAAGATGGCTCCCATGGTTGGGAAGGATATTACAGAGCGTCTTATCCTCCCTAGGTTTTGCGAGATGTGCTGTGACTGTAGAATGTTTCATGTCCGAAAGGTATGTTTGCATCCATTTCTTGTCTTCATGTCTAAGAACATGTGGTGCTGTGAGATATGAAATTTAATAGATTGTTTTTAAGCAACTCCACACGTGATATTGAAATGTTGGTGATGTTTTTGTTTTAGGTCTGTGCTGCCAATTTTGGAGATATTTGCAGTGTAGTTGGCCAGCAAGCTACAGAGGAAATGTTGGTAAGTATCTAAGGTGTTAAAGAACAAGTAATGCACAGTAGTAGAGACTTCATGAACACGGCCCCATGACTGCAAACCAGAAAGATGTTTATAAGTTTAGAACTGCAAGTTGCCACTTGAAACATGATTTCAGCAGGATGGCTGGTTAAGCACATATGTGTGAGAAACACTGCTACACTCTTAGCTTCCACACGTGTGCTTAGTAAATCAGTTCTAATTTACTCAGCGGAGTCTTTAACCTTACTAGGATGCTCACTTTGGCAACACTGTGAATCTTAACTACTTGCAGCAGAGTAGTTAAGATGTGGCACGTATGCTTAGAGTGTCTATTCATCCTTTGGCAAAGTGAGCTCAGGTATAAGGGCTTGGATGATCGCAAGCTGTGCTTACTGGTGCTTTTGCATTTCTAGGGTGAGTTATAAATTGGATGTGATTTACTAAAAAGTTTCTGAGTACCAGTATAAAATACATTTTCTACTTTCTAAGAATAGGCAACATTTAAAACAGAGACAACAAAGGGGAAGTAACAGTGGCCTTTGTCCTCACAGCTGCCCAGGTTTTTCCAGCTGTGTTCTGATAATGTGTGGGGAGTCCGAAAGGCCTGTGCCGAGTGCTTCATGGCTGTCTCCTGTGCAACGTGTCAAGAGATCCGACGGACAAAGTTATCTGCACTGTTCATTAACCTGATCAGTGATCCTTCACGTTGGGTAACACTTTTAAAAAAACATTTTGAGTCTTATTTTAAAGTAAATGTGATTTTTAAAAAATTTGTTTTAATATGATATTTAGGGTCTATGGTGTTTTGTCTGCATGTATGTATGTGTACCACATGCATGTCTGGGCCCATAGAGACCAGAAGAGGATACTAGTTCCTGAACCAGGAGTTGACAGGTAGTTGTGAGCTATCATGTGGGTGCTGGAAACTGAACCCAGGGCTTTTGGGAAAGCAGTTGGTCTTAACGACTGAGCCATCTCTCCAGCCCCATGATTTTAAATTTAACAAATGATTTACTTTGGTGGAGGTGGTACATACCTTTAATTCCAGCACTTGGGAGGCAGAGGTAGCTGGATCTCTTGAGTTTGAGGCCAGCTTAGTTTACAGAGTGAGTTTCAGGACAGCCAGGGCTACACAGGGAAACCTGGTCTTGAACTCTCCCCTGTAAGGAAAGAATTTATAATGTATGGTACTTCATATATATAAGAATAGAGAGCAGAGGACTCTTAAAGTCTGTCTTCTTGGTGCCTGAAAAGTATTTTTTTTTACAAATTCGAGCTATGTTCGTTTTAATTTGGCTTGATCTTTAATACTCATTGACTTTTTCTTTTTTGTTTTTTAAATATGTATTTTTATCAGGCATTGAGGATATGTACTCAGGAGGTAGAGACAGGTAGCTGGAGACCAGCCTTGTCTACATAGCTAGTTCTAGGCCAGCCAAAGCTACATAATGAGACACTGTCTCATTCGTGTGTGTATGTGTGTGTACTCATGTTGTGTCCTCAAGGCGGAAGGTTGGATCCTCTAAAACTAGAGTTAGAAAAAGTTTGCCCTGCCTCCTGATAGTTAAACGGTCTTTCCTCACTGAAAGCGCTAAGTATATTCCTGTTTGACAGTCTTGGTTCTCTTCATTTTTCTTGTTTTTGAAGCATAAAGGAAAACTTTGTAATGGTTTGTTGTGTTTCATAGTATGTACCGTTCAGGTGCTCGCTGTCTGAATAACCAAGTCAGAATGAAAACTGAAAGTAGAAAAAAAAGTGTAATGCTTCCTAAATGTTAAGTACTGAAAGACTTAGGTTTCTTCTCCGGGGCTTTCTATTGTCCGAAGCATGCTCTAGCCGTAATGTACGCAGAGTAACTTAGTGGATGTGTGTGCCAAGGCAGCCTTCCCTTCATGCTTGTGTTGATTACGTCTTTCTCTCTTAGGTCCGCCAGGCAGCCTTTCAGTCTCTGGGGCCTTTCATATCTACTTTTGCTAATCCGTCTAGCTCAGGCCAGTATTTTAAAGATGAAGGCAAAAGTTCAGAAGATTTATCAGCAGAAGACAAAGACAGGTATAATATTAAAACTTTGTATTATATTTGTAAAAAGCATTCCCACTACTTTACCACAAATATTTTTGAATCAGTAAATGTTTTATAGTTTTTTTTTTTAAATACCTGTTTGTTATGTCTTCAGTTAGTTAACTATTGGATGAAAAAAAATGCATGTAACATGTAGCTTGATGCTTCGCACATAGAAAACCGAGTGACAAATTTGATACTGAGTATTTAATGAATTATTTGCCTAGGAAACTATTGGTGCTCAGAACATAAAGGCTAATGCTTGTACCATTTATTTAAATTGTGTCTTCAAAAGTTACCTTAGTAATATGTCTGCTTTTGTATATAGTCTACTCTGACTCTTCCTTTTTCTCATAGTTAGTTAATTTAATGTGGGTCTTGGGTTCTCTTGTCTACAATGTGACCATGCAATCCCTCAGTTGAGGGAAGCATTTTAATGATTAGCCCTAAGTTAATATGCTTTTTAAACAGAAGAGCAACTTTAAGATAACCAGAGATTTAAGGGAGGTTGAAAGTCTGATTTTAAGATTTCTACATAAAGGAGTTTCAGTTGACAGTTTTCTTTGTTAGGGTTTATTATAATTATATAGAGAACTCCTTGGGACTAATAATGCATGGGAAGTGTGCATAAGCTTCTGCAGTTGCATACATGTTCTTGAAACAGCCCCCTTGCTGTGATGCTAATGACCATTTTCTTCTATAGGTCTTGATACTGTGGTATTTGCTTTCTTGGTGTTTTGATTTGACAGTTCTTCCTTTCTTCTCTGCTGCCTTGTTTTACCTTTTTGCCCGTTCTCCTACTGTCCTGCCAAACACATCTGAGGTACTGTTTTTTGTAAAGGAAGAAAATCTCTCTTAATTTGGTCTTCCTAGCAAGCATGGTCTTTGAAAATAATGCTAGAAGGGATCTGATAAAAATGTGGGGGGGTGGGAATGTTAGCTACTTTTCATTTTCAAGTCAGCTTACTTTTTTTTTTAATGATCAATTTAAGTTGCTGAGGATGGCACATAACTTGTTCTTAAATCTGGAAAGGGTCCAGTAAGTATGACTGTATAAGACCGCACATGTTTAGTAGAAGCAGATAGTAAACCTTTCATTCTCTGTCCCGATGCTGATCTCTGCCTTGTAGTAAGAAAGTCAGCACGGCGGGAGTGCTGTGCCCCAAGAAGAGGTACTGGGAGCCGTGCTTGACGACGAGCTGGGCGGCCTCTCGGAACAGCTGTTACCAACAGTTTGCTTTCCTCACTGACTTTGCACTACGTTATCAGATGTGTCTCGGTAGCAAGTCTGTATCATTTGTAGCGCTGGGCTACCCGTCGTTGCCATTGAACTGCGTTAATAACGTAGTAAAGGGGAGGGAAAGCTCGGACATGTACAGCATATGTCTGTTAGTCCATCAGACTGTGATGTTACACATCACAGTCTAATACTGCTGCCTTGGAACCAGTGGTTTGATTGCCTTACCTTAAACAGCACTGGCATGTTTTCAAGCTAATGTAAAAGCTGAGAACCTAGGATGAACCTGGAATTTGATTTCTGTGCTCAGGGTATTCTCAGTTCCCTAGAATTCCTACTTCTCAATATCGGACAAAGTAAGGGGTTCCTTGTTTTTATGATATGCTGTGTGTAGGTGTGGGTACGCATGCATGTTTGTGTGTACGCACGTGAGTGTGCCATGCGTTATATGCACTGGTACCCATAGGAGCTAAAAGGTCTGCTTGAGCTGGAGTTGCAGGCTGTGGTTAGCCACCCAGTGTGGCTGCCCAAGAACCAAACTTTGTGTCCTCAGCAAGAGCAGTTCATGGCTGAGCCAGCTCTCCGTCCCCTGAATAAAGTCTGGCTGCTAGGTTTCTAGTGCTGTTTATTTTGTGTCAAGTGTTTGATCTGTCCTGAAACATTTGCTGTCACTTAGTGTTGTAGAAGGACTTAGAGATTATAGATTTCTGACTTTATTAGATCAGGCTAGAACTACTTTGAAGATGCTGACGAAGGCTACTTACAGAGACAAGAGTAAAGCACTGAGATTTGCTGTATAAAGTTAGGCAAAGTTTAAAATAACGAGGTCTGGGGCTGTAGCCCAGTGGTGGAGCACTTGCTGAGAATGTGCCCTGGATTTAATTCCCATCAGAGCAAAAGTAATTATGCATAATTACTTTTGAAACAGTTGCTTTGTTCCCTGGCTGCCCATTCTGCTGCGTGCACTTTGCTCTTTGGCTCACCCTACCTTTTCTGATTACTGCTCTCTGTCGGAAATATTCATTCCACATGTATTCTGTTGGCAGAATACCTATCTGTGTTCCCTGATGTGCACATACCTTTCAGAATCACACTCTTTGAGGCGCATTGGCTTTGGGTAGCACTTGTTTGAAAACGTGCCTCTCTATATCTGCTTTCATCGTGCTGTAGGTATAAGCACATCTAGGATAGCAGTCTACTTTTAAGCTTCATTTGTGCTAACACCTTCTCTGGGCCGGCTCAGAGTGGGAACCTTTCAGAATTATTATTCTTTGGACAGTTCCTACATCTATGCAGCAGACCCTCCCTGAAGCTTTTCCTAGTGCCCCCATCCTCCCAACTTTGTGGCTTTTTTTTTTTTTTGAGTATAGAGAGACAGGATCTCTCTATGTAGTCCTGGCTGTCCTGGACTCAAAGATCTGCCTGTCTCTGCCTCCCTGAGTACTGGGATTAAAGGAATGTACTGCCATACCTGGCTTTTAACCCTTTAATTAATAGTCCCCATAAATAAAACTCTCTTAAGAACCTATGGGTTTGATTTTTCAAAACCTTAAGTATTTGAACAATAAAATTGACTGTCACTTGGAAATAATTCTCTAATGTCAAAGCTCCATTTAATTTACTTCACAGTGTAATTATGAATTCAGTTTGCTTTGGTTTGGCATTTGCTTTGGTTTGGCTTGATTCTCTTTAAATGTTTTGTGAGTTTTGTGCGTACTAGATTTGCCAGGCTTCATGGCCTCTGCTAAGGAAGTCTAGGGTACTGGAGATTAATTTATACGGAAATCAGAAGCAAGGTTGAGCCAGTCCCATGAAGCCAAGGCTAGTCTTGAACTTCTGATCTTCCTGCTCCTGCCTGCCCTGTACTGGGATTACAGGCTGGTACCTCTACACCCAACTTACTTAGTTTTCCTCTTGAGAGAAACTTTTAACCTACCTCTGCTGCTCTTATTGCACATATCGTAGAGTTAACTATAACTCTTGTACCCAGCAGACTCCAAAGACACATTTGTCCTGTACCATAGCATTTAGATGCCTTCGGCAACAAGCTACATGGGCTTGTCATGACTCTTAAACACTCTAGGAAGAAATGGAATTTAGGGAGTTTGTACTTTGGGCAGTCAAAGCCTCACACATACAGTATCTCCCAATACTAATACTAGGGCAAACTTTCTCATATCTTATAATTTTGTGTTTAAAAAGCAAACATAGGGAATGGAGGGATAGCTCAGTGGTTAAGAGCATTGGCTGCTCTTTTTAGGACCCAGGTTCCGTTTCCAGTACCTACACAGAGGCTCCCAACTGTCTGTCACTCCTGTCTGAAGGGATCTGACACCCTCACACAGACACACATGCAGGCAAATAAAAATAAATCATTTAAACAAAGAGGAAGCAAACATAGTAAGTGTCTTAAGTTTTAACAGACTAATGGATTTACTTTTGCTAGACAGGAAGAATCACTAGATGGTCAGTGTGAATGCTAGAAGGAATATGAAAGTGAGATGCTAACCCAGTTTGGGGATATTTCTCTGTTCTGAGTGGCTGCTAGTCAGATCTGGTGTGTGCTGTTAAGTATGGGCACTTAACTGTGTTAGATGATAAAGTCTCAGGTTTCACCTTGCTACACCCATTGCCAGAATACCTAGTTACTATAATGTTCAATTTTTATGTAGATTGACTGTAGAAAATCTACAGAATTTCACAGTGAACCCGTCTCCCCTTCACCCAATGCTGCTTTGCCATGTCTGCCTGTGTGAGCTTTTCTTCTGACCCTTTGAGAAGTTTTAGACATTTTTCCCCGTCAGATACTTTACTTTGTATTTTTTCAAAGCATAGACAGACACTACATAGACCACATAGCTATAGTCCAGTTACCAACGTTAGGAAATGAGTCAGTACTACTGTTTAATAGGACAGAACACCTAGAAATGTATAATTTGTACATATTGGGAGTAAACATTTTACACAGGAGCTCTGGCTTCATCAGAGCTGTTGGAAAGAGTACATAGGCCATCTAGGCAGCTCCCTTATTTCAGTGAAATGGGAACAAAGGAGGAGCCTCACAAGCCCTGACGGTTCTATCTCATATTTGAGACAGCACCCATGAAGTTCAGTTTCCTCACATTTGGCACATATATGCAATGTTTGTGTATCTTATATATTTTATAGTTATAGAAGGGAAATACCAGGTGTCAAAATGCTGTTAAGTTTTTAGATGGCATCTACGTTTCAAATTTTAAAAGATCGTATGTTTTTGACATGCTTCTGAAAATGATGAGCATTACAACAAAATGGAACTCAGGGTTTTCATGAAAACCTACATTGGAGCAGGAGAGACATCCCAGTGGTTAGAGCACTGGCTGCTCTTTCAGAGGACCTGGATTCAATTCTCAGTATCCACATGGCAGCTCACAACTGTCTATAATTCCAGTTCCATGGGATGTAGCCCCATACATGTTTGCAAGAAACACATACACACACCAAAGTCTTAAAAAGAATACCTACATGACTATTAAACTGATACCATAAATGAATATTAACATCGCCCTTATTTTTCGCGCTCCCCTTAAATCCCATGTTTGATTTTTTTTTTCTGACTCTGAGAAAGTTTAGAAATTTCTTTTTTACCTCTCAGATACTTCTGTATTTTTTTCTAAAATAGACTGTGTATTCAAAGGCACATGGCACTTTGTGAGAAAACTTTTGTTTTTCTTTACCATATTTAACTTACAAATACATACATCTTCTTTCATCCTTGTTTCTCTTTTGCCTGTTTAACTCACATCACGTGAGCCTGGATTCTCTTCTTAGACCTTGCTTACCTCACCCTCTGACCTCAACCTCAGCCTCAAAACATGCATGCCATTCTTCCATCCGGGCTTCTTGTTGGTGGGCCACTCTGCAGTGTTAGTATTTCTCAGCTCTTGCACTGCTAGATGCTCCTGTGCGCTCGTGAGTCTGTCTGCCCCGTTGCTCGTAGACGGCACTACCTGGGGTGTAGCAGATGCCTAACCTGCCCCCCCAGACCTGAACTTGCTAGCTTACTTGTGTAAAGTGCTCATGTTCTTAGCTCTGATTAGTGCTATGGATGCTAGAGGATCTGTTCAGCTGCCCAGCCAGAATCTGGCTATCTCCCGGGTTCTGCAGGAATTGAGTAGACACATAATGCCACCGCTTTGATCACTGACGGGCTGTCCCTGTGTGGCCCACTGACACCACCTGTGTTCACACATCGTCTCTGGTGCTGACATTCCCATTCCTGCAGCCTGTTTCTCTCTAGCTTGTTTTTTGCACTGCTTCTGCAAGGGTCTCAGGAAAAGAAGGTGTCTGATGGGTTTTACAGTTCCTTTGTTATTTCATGGACACAGGAGAAACTCAGAAGTGTCTCCAAAGACGCCATAGCACCCATCATTTCCTCCAGGGCCCTGCGGCCCCACTTCCATCTCTGCATTTTTTGCTCGGAGCCTGCACTTCTCTGCCTGGAATCCACACCCTCATTTGGGGGTAGGGTGGAAATTTGCCTTTTTTTTTTTTTTAAAGATCTGTTTATTTAGCTAGCCTGGTGGTGTAGGCCTGAAATCCCAGCACTCAGGGAGGCAGAGCCACATGGATCTCCTAAGATTGAGAGGAGCTTGGTCTACAGACTGAGTCCAGGACAGCCAGGGCTACACAGAGTGACCCTGTCTTGAAAAACCAACAAACAAGAAGATTTATTCATTTATTTATTTTACATATGTGTGCTCTGTCTTCATGTACACCTGCACGCCAGAAGAGGGCATCAGATCCCGGTATAGATGGTTGTGAGCCACCACGTGGTTGCTGGGGATTGAACTCAGGACCTCTGGAAGAGCGGGCAGTGCTCTTAACCCCTGAGCCATCTCTCCAGCTCCAAAATTTAGTTTTTGAGACACCGTCTTCCTGTATAGCTTGGGCTGTCCTGGAACTCATTCTGTAGGCCAGGTGGACCTCCACCTGCCCCTGCTTTCAGTGTGGGAACTAAGGGCACATGCCACCATGCCTGACTGTATTTTAATTAGATGGTAATTTGTTTTTCTAGTTTACTGTTTGTGTACCTGTAATTGTAATTTCAACCTACACTCAGTTTTCAGGGTTTTGGTGAGGATGTTTGTGGCTCCTTTCAGATTCTTGATCCTCCACCAGTGTGCACCTCCATACCCAGCTTGCCTCCCAGTGTTATTGTTACTTGTGCATGCTGAAGATGAATGTGCAGGGGTGTGCGTGTGTGTGTCTGAGCATTCATGCATGTGTGAGTCTGGGCTTAATTCAGCCATCTTTCTCAGTTGTTTTTCACCCTGTGTGTTGAGACCGTGTCTCCTACTGAACCTGGAGCTTGCCAATTCAGCCAGACTAGCAGACCAGCAAGCCCCAAAGATCCTTTTGTTTCCATTTCCCCAACACTGGCAGTCTAGGTGTGTAGCTTCTTTTGGCTTATTTATATTGGTGCTGGGGAGGAGGGGTCTGAGTTTGGGTCCTTAAGTTTGTGCGTTTCACCCTCATGCCAAATCCTGAAACCTGATTTATTTATGGGTTCTGGTAGATGCCCAGTAACTGCTTTTTAAGTAGCAGGCAGGAGAGAAGCAGTACAACTGAAGGCTGTGGTTGAGACGGTAGGTAGTAGCCAGGCAGACAACCATCAGATGCTCAACCGCTCATCCTTGTCTGTTCCATCAGGACTTCCTTTTGGAAAAGCCTGTTTTTGAAGTAACATTGGAGATTGAGGAACAAATAAAAATGATCCTGTTAGCCAGGCACGGTGGCGCACACCTTTAGTCCTGGCACTCAGGGAGGCAAAGGCAGGGGGATCACTGTGAGTTTAAGGCCAGCCTGTTCTACAAAGCGAGTCCAGGAAAGCCAAGGCTACACAGAGAAACCCTGTCTTGAAAAAACAAAAAAGAAAGAAAAAAAATGATCCTGCTTACCCTTAAGTAGCTTTTTATATATTTTATGAGATAGTTAATAAGTATCTTCTCTCCTACCCTCTAGAGGTTTTTTCCTTTATCCTTCTTTAATGAGCAAAGATGTTTTGAATCTCAGCTTTCATTGTGTCACTGGAACAAAGTGGTGATACAAATAATCCCCAAATAAATAATTTATAATTTGTATGTGTCGTAGAATCCACTGTATTGGTTTCTTCTTCCTGCTATTTCTAGTATTACTATAGTGTTGTAGCATCCCAGGATTCTTAGGTGTCGCCTTCTCCAGCTGTGAATAATGCCTGTTTAGACCAGTTTGACAGGTGTTTCACATCTCTGAATGCAGAACAACTGATGGAAAAGAAGCGTTGTGTGACATGCAAGACTGTTCAGTTTCTGTGGATGAGCTGTATACTATACTTAGCTAGTCTAAATGCTGTGTCATACTTTTCACAGATTTTTTTTCCCCAGTAATTATTTCTATACTTCCATGTTTCTTTTTTTTCCCTCCCCTAATTGAAACAATGAAAGGATCAAAGATCACGATGTCGAGGAAGAAGAGCAGATCAGGCCAGAGGATGCTCCCTCAGACCTCAGTGGCAGACTGGCGAGCACACTGGAAGACTGTGCTGCGGAGACATCTGGGAGCTCTGCAGGTGACAGTGCTGCAGTGGACAGCTCCTTACTCTGTACTTTGTCCTCAGAGTCTCCTCAGGAAGCAGCTAGCCATGAGAGTGATCAAGAGCCTGCCAACAGCAAGTCTGCGTTCCAGCCAGAGGTTGGCACCAGCTCCGCAGATTCCACTCTCTTAGATCAGGATTTGTTCAACTCCTTCCATTTCTGGAGGACTCCTCTACCTGTAATAGATATTGATGTAGAGCTCCAACAGGACTCTGGGGAGAGACTCAGCCCACAGAGAACAGGAGATGGACCTGGAGACCCTGAACCAGGTTCCCCTGGTGTCACCATGGCTACCCGGAAGGAGCTAGAGGAAATGATAGAGAACCTAGAGCCACACATGGATGACCCAGATGTTAAAGGTATGGAAGACTCCGGCATACTCTTTTCTTATTTAAAGCTCATTTTTAAAATGCCTATTATGGTAACATCACTGGTCTGATTTGTAAGAATTATGTCTAAGATGGCTCCTCTCTACTGTTTATTATTAGATAGATGTGTTCATTCAGAAATCACTTTTTGCAGTTATTCAGTGTTTATAATTTTTAAGGTTCTGAGTCCTGTTGTATCCGTTTTTCTCTGGCTCTCATTTTTAAGGAAGAGCTATAATCTATATGGCGGACATAGATTTTTGTTTCCCACATGTATGATATTTGAGAAGCTGTAGTCTTTTACAAGAAGGATGTAGTTTTCAATTTTGTGTTTTGCTTTTGTTTGGAGTTAATAAATACATAGACCATGTCTTCCATTGTGAACAACTGAACTGGTTGTTCAGTCCTAAATAAAACATTGCCTCAGGTCAAGTAGAACATGTGTTAAGTTCTTAAGAGTGAGAAATGAGGGGCCTTCTTATTCTGCCTGCTGGAGCTTAGGCACAGGGTTAGAGTGCATGAGGCCAGAACCCTGACAGGATGGTACTTTCCTGCTGCCTTGGTGATTGATTGTGTGACCATCCTCTGAAATGTTTTGAAAACCAGGCACAATGGTGCCCGTCTTTAATCCCAGCACTCAAGAGGCAAAGACAGAAAGATCTCTGTGAGTTCTGGGCTAGCCAGGTCTGTGTAGAAAGTCCCAGGCCAGCTAGATCTACATTTATCTTAGGAAAAGAACAAAACAAATCAAAGCAAAGACACTGTAAATCCATAAATGCAAATCTTCAGAGCCAGTACCACTTCTTGGATATTTTTCCCCTTGTTGTTCCAAAAACTAAAATGTCTAAACTGTCAGTTTGCTCAGTATTGGGAAATACCCATTTCAAAGCAAATAAAGTAAAATGTTAAGTAATTCTTTTAAAACAAAAACCTTTCTTTTGTTTACTTTGTGGGGAAGATTAGATCTCATTCTGTAGCCCAGGCTGGCCTCAAGCTTGCAGCATCTCCCTCCCTCACCCTCCTGTGAGCTGCGATTATTACAGGCATGAGACCACACCCATCGAAAACCTTGTTTAAACTTTGAAAAATTCCTCATGTTTGCTAACATCTGCATTCTCTTTCATTTACTGCGATTTTTTGAAATTTCCTGTTGTAATTTTATACCTAAAAAATTAATTTAATTACATCCTTGATCATTAATATTATTTTAGCTTAACTGAATTTTATGTAAAATATCTACCTGTATAGATAGATGTAATCTTAATTCCAGGTTCCATAAATGACAGGAACATGTTATATTTGTCTTTCTGAGTCTGGGTTATTTTGCATAACATGACTTAAATTGCTGACTTTAATTTTAAGATTCACTGGGGTATAGTTTTTACCAGTGAAAGTCATTGCTCTTTTGAATGAATAGTTCTATGAGATTTGAGAAATAGCCAAGTGGCTGGTTGCCACTGTTGAGGTGGAGAACAATCTCTTCAGCCCAAAGTAAGCCCCTGGTCCTTTCTGTACCTTAAGACAATTCAGTGACAGAGCAGCTCTGCGTTGACAAGCCAGCCTTGTCAGAAGAGCCCGGCGCCTTGCTCCCCTTTGCTTCCATGCTCCTCAGCCCCGAAGAGAAGAAGCGAGGCCTGGCCACAGCCACTGACAGCCAAGTGTCCCATGTCTTTAATCCTTTCAGCTGCTTGCTTAAATTTTATTCATCAGCCTAAGTTTTATTAAGTTCATCTACCTTCAGTAACTCTGATTTAGATCTGTTCCAGGGTTCATTACATCACAGTACTGGCTAGTTCTCTAACTCACAGTAAGCACTCAACAAATATTAATAGAATTGTTGAATGCACTGCTTTAATCTTTTCAACAGATAAAACCTTTCCAAGTTTCATAATATGTCTGTGTTTCTAAAGATGGATAACACTACTTAAAATTACATTGTAGTTTAAATTTTTTCATTATAAATACTATCTTGTAATTTAATTGATTGTATTTCTAATTCCACTATGGCCCCTGGAACAACTTAAATTTGTCATGTAGTGCTTTTAGGTTTTATTGAAATCTGAGGGCATGTTTTTTAACTCTGTGTTAATTTAAGTAACTGTTTCCATTGTGTCATAAAATATTTTGAATTTTCAGAAGAGTGTTCAGTAATTTGGGGCTCTTTTTCTTTTCTAATGGTGCATTATAGAGTAATCATTCTAAATTTGCCAGAAAGCATGTATGCTTTTTAAAAGGCACACTGTTGATTCAAGACCAAGAAAGGTCTGACTGGGGAGACTGGTGCCATGCTGCCTTGTCAAGTTGTCTCAGGGTAGGAGGAGAGTAAACATGTCGGCTGCTCTAGGACTTTCTCGGCGCACATCAAGTCACAGCTGTCTTCCGTGTAAGGTGGCTTTGCTGAGGTCAGTCTCAGCCTCCTGTGATCACTGCTGTTGTTTTTCTCCTGTGATTTCTGGCTATGAATTTAGACTTTTCATTAAACTACAAGAGGAAAAGGGGGGAGCCCTTTTGTTAGCTGTGGGCACAGCAGATTGTCATGGAAAGGCTGACCGAACAGATCCTACCTAGTGAGACAGAGACGGTAGACAGATCCCCTTCAAAGAGATGGCCTGCTGAGCGCAGTTATTACTGCACATTTGGCCAGCGGTCACAGGTTGGGCCTGCACACATGGGCAGTCCGCTGGAGACAAGTGGCCTACTTGTGTCAGATGTGTCCTACCTCTGCGCTAACAGTTTCTTCTCCAGCAGCAATGTGTTTGAGATCCCATCCACACATGCTCTTCGGTGGCAGGAAGCACTTTATACATTATGTTTTCTATAGTCAGCTTTGAGTACAGTTCTTTAGACCTTCTAAACCTTCGCATTAGAAACTTGAACGACCCCAAAGAGAGCTAAAATGATTGTAATTTTAGTTAGAAATTATAACCGAAATTCTGGAAACAATGAAAATCACCAGAATGTCTCATCAGTAAACACCATTATCTGCTTATTTAGGTAATTGATGACCCACTGAAATAGAAGTTCCTTATGCACTAGTCTTTTATGTCCACGGTCAGGTGTTTAGATGCATTTAGAGAAGGCCCCTCCTGCTCAGAAATAGAAACTCAGTTTCTTAAGACCATGTGAAGAATGAGGGTGGGCTGGTGAGCCGGGACAGCGGTGTGCGGGAGCGCCTGCTCTCTCTGGCTCAGGACAGCCACCCTTTACACCCTGTACATCTCGCCTGCTTCTCTGCCTTGCTCTGCTCACCCTGCCCCAGCAGGGACCAGTCTTTCTTGTCTTTTTTTTTTTTTTTTTCTTTTTTTCTGATCAACTGGCTTCTTGATCTTTTTAAAGTTTTCTCTCTGACTGTTTATGTATGTGTACAGTATACAATATTGCGATTAAATATCACCCCAGTACTGTCTGTCTGCTTTCCCTCTGTGCCCTGTTATAACCGTGGGGTGCCCACGCCCCGCCGTCCCACCTTTCCCTCAGTGGTCACACCGTAAAGGACATAACCCCCACTGCACCCCTTTCAGCAACTGTTAACAGTTCCTCAGGAGAGGTGTGTCCGGAAGGGACATTGTCAGGCCCCTGCTGTGTGCTCGCAGTGACAGTAGCCATGCCATGTCTGGATGCAGTGCTTCAGGGCACCTTCCTGGGCTTTGCTGTGAGCAACCGTGCCTTGGTGTGGGGAGGTTAGCATAGGGCAGTTTAAGACTGACCATTCAACAGGCACTTTTCGCAGTCCTTTGACCTGATGTGAGAGTCCACACTGACCTCTACCAAACAAAACAACTTCTGTCCAAGGCATGAAATTCTATAAATGCTGTCACATATGAGTAGGTTGTTTGAAGCAGTAAATTTGAATTTCAAATGTCATATATTATATGTGCAAGGGGAATGTTACTTTAAATAAATACTGGTGCTCTGTGTATGTGTGTACACTTTTTTTTTTTTTCCTAAATTTCCTTTCATCGGGTAGGATAGAGAATGCCTCTTTCTTAATTTGAATTTTCTGTATAAGGAAGGCAGTATTTTTTTTAAAGATTTGTTTATTTATTATGTATACAGTATTCTGCCTGAATGTATGTGTGCAAGCCAGTAGAGGGTACCAAATCTCATTGGAGATGGTTGTGAGCCATCATTGCTGGGAATTGAACTCAGGAACTTTGGAAGAGCAACCAGTGCTCTTAACTTCTGAGCCATCTCTCCAGCCCTATTTTTTTTTCTTTCCTTTTTTCCTCTCTATTTCTGTCTTTTTTTTTTTTAAACTGTGTTTTTTTGTTTTTTTTTTTTTAAGGACTTATTCGTTATTTATACAACATTCTGCCTATACACCAGATCTCACTGTAGATGGTTGTGAGCCACCATGTGGTTGCTGGGAATTGAACTCAGGGCCTTTGGAAGAACAGCCAGTGTTCTTAACCTCTGAGCCATCTCTCCAGCCCCGGAAAGCAGTATTAATTGCTAAGTTTATTAACTAGTGCTTGCTAGTTGTTTTGGCTTTGGGCAAACAGGACTATATCCTTGGGATCCCGGTGTTTGGGACAAACTGTGGTGATTTCAGTATCACATAAGGAATAGCGAACTGAGGTGAAATACAGATGTTTCGGCAGCACTGCCGAGAAGTCTTTGTCACGGCCACTGTGTGATGTTGGCAGGTTTCTGCTGGAGTAGGGTAGTGAGGCTTACCTGCCTGATGTACAAACTACAGAAATGGAGCCTTGTAAGAACCTGGAGGCCCCTCCACTAGACAGCGTAGCACCCTCGTCTCTGCTTGTTCTCAGGAAGGACCAGCGATTTGCTCAGCATAAGGCTTCAGCGTTCCGATGGCAGCATCCGCCGCACACTGTGCTGCTCACGCACAGTGAGGGAGCATGGCGGGTGCTGCGGCTCCTCCGCCCGCTCACTGTCTCCTTTGCCCACAGCGCAGGTGGAAGTGCTGTCGGCTGCCCTGCGCGCTTCCAGCCTGGATGCGCACGAAGAGGCCAGTGGTGCGGGGCAGCGGAGTGAGCTACCAGACGAGCTGGGTGTGAACGAGCTTCCAGACTGTGGCGTGACTCCAGACACTTCTGTGTCTTTAATCAGCACTGCTGAGGAGGTAATGAGCTCGGTGTTTACCAGGCGAGAGCCATGTGAACACGCAGTCCTGAGGGGGATGCGCGAGGTAGCGCGCTCTCCTAGTTACTCGTCTCCTAGCCCTCCCTTTTGCATAAAGTAGAAGTAACGATTCTCACCGCATCCATCCTCGTGACCTTAGTGTCTTAGTAAAGGCTCAGAACAGCTGGTTCTGGTCCTGACCGTGGGGCTCTAGATGAGTGGATGTTGATGTAGCTCACTGCAGTGAAATAGTCTTGCTGGAAACAAAGCCCTTTATCAAGAATAATTAACTCTTCCCTTTTCTTTTTGGAGAGGTGCTTTGTTTCTGATCGGACCATTTCACTGCAGCAAGCAACACAGTACTCTGAGCAGAAGACCGGGACTTGAGGCCATGCTGCGGAGGGCTGTGGCATGATCTGCACTCAAGTGCGAGGGTGGGTACTGTTATAGCATCGTCTTTGCTGCATCCGTGTAGCTGTGCACGTGATCCTCCCTGGTTTCCTACTGCGTTTCCCTCACGCCACAGTCACGTAGCAGCTCCTTCTTCTCTTTTGCTATGGACACAGAGAAGGAAGCACAAATTGCCAGGGTGCAGTGTAGACCCCAGCAGCTCGAGTGACAGAGCTCGGGCAAGTGAGTGCCTAGCGCGCTTGCGCAGTTCTGGTTTTGTTGGTGGTATCTGATGCGGTTGGAAAGGTGTACCCGACGTGGACTTTGGAGAGGAGCCCTGACCATATAGCGGAGGCCAACTGCTGTGGTACATTTGCACCGTAGAGCAGAGGTTGGGTGTGTTTGTCTGGAAAGTGTGCCTGTTAAAAGCAGCTACTGGTAAAATCAGCTACCAGAAACCATGAGTAGGAATAAAAGAAAAACTACATGACATCCATTGGCCTCCAAAAGAGTTGACTGCAAGAATCCTCCTGGTATTTTATAAATGAGCTAATTTTCTTTTTTTTAATGTACTTTTTTAGTCTTATTAATGTGTTTGGGCTGCTTGTTTGTCTGTGGACCATGTGCGTGCAGGACCCACAGAGGTCAGAGGAGGGCGTCACATCTAGAGCTGCCGTCTAGAGGGTTGTGAGTCACCACTCGGCTGCTGGGGATTAAACCCAGGTCCTCTGCCAGAGCAAGTGCTCTTAACCATTGAGCCATCCCTCCAGTCCACAAACTTTCATTTTTCCAAGGCTAGTTTCTGTACATTTAACAGCTATTCCGTAAATGTGGTGTGAAGCAGGGGCCATTGAGGAGGCCTTCAGCACGTTTACAAACATTTAAAATCCTAGAGTCCCTCTACCTGAACCTTTGATAGTTGTGAATGGTAAGTAAACCTGGAGAGAGGTTAGTGATGGAGGAAAGCTTTCAGGCAGGGCAGTTCTTGAAGTACATGTTTCTCCTCACAGAGTATGGACGCCACTCCTGACTATGTCCATGAAGGTGGGGACGTGACCCCCAGTGACAGCTTCAGCCCTGAGGAAGAGAGGAGACCCAAAGTACAAGTGAGTGGCTGGTCAAGTGACATGTGTCCGAGTTTTCAGTCCCTCCCCCGAAGCCTGAGACCTCATTAATCTTCCTCTGCAGTTCGTGTTTTAAAAGTTAAGACAGGTCATGACATGTGTGAACAGAACATTTAGAAAGTGGCGAAGCTAGCACAAGGGACATATTCCTCACATATTCTCAGTCCTGGGGTTCCTATGTGGTGTTAGAACAAAGGTGTGTGGCCTTTGTATCTTAATTTCCTCATGCCTACTGATACTAACTTGCATTCCAGTTTTCAGAGATTTTATCTGCCTTGTTTTGTTTTGTTCTTTAGTCAGGGTCTTACTATATATGTAGTCCAGGCTACCCTCAGACTTACTGTGTAGCCAGGCCGGTCATGAGTCAGAGCTGTCTTCTTAACAGCTATGCACCCTCACACCAGGTCACAGATGTTTAAGTACAGGGTATGACTTACCCTCGTCTTTCACGTTTGTGAAAATGTACCTTAGCTCTCTCTCTGCCTCCCCCCTCCCCCCCAGCAGGTTGGAGCCCCTTAGCTGTCCCATCTCTGTAAAGGTGCCTGTGGGGCCCTGCACACTGGAGCTCTCTGGCAGTTCAGAACACATGTGCGTTGTTCACCTCTGGGTGTGTTATATAAGTGGACGCCGAGATCAACTAGTCCATAGTCCGTGCTTGTGCTTCTTACTTAAAACAGTGCTTGTGCACAGAGTTGAAGCATGCTTTTCTCACTTACATTGTAAAAATATTTTAAAGTCAGTGCACATAGATCATCTTCTGAGGTTTCATCGGACCTCATGTTTACATGCATTATAGCTAGAGAGGAAAGACAGGGATTTCTCCTCCGCTTGTCCATTTTTACTTCCTCAGGAGCAATGAGTCTTGTAAAACTCCCCTTCCAAAAGTAGGTGGCACAAGCAGGATCGAGACAGTGCACATTCCCCCTCATTCTCCAGACAGATGTGTGCTCTCCGATTTTTAAAGTTCCGTAGAAGGAGTGTGGCTTTAACTTCTTGCTTTGTTTTCTTGAGGCAGGGTCTTGATGTGTAGCTAGCCCAGAGATCCTCCTGCCTCTGTCTCCTGAGCACTGGGATGAAAGGTGTGCGCTGCCATGCCCAGCTCCAGCAGAAGTTTAAAATGTACATAGAAGGATGTGGCTTTAACTGTTTTTGTTGTTGTTGTTGTTGTTTTCTTTATTTGGACATAGTTCTGGTACAGCAGATAGCCCAGGCTAGGTTCAGAATTGGTCCTTCTGCCTCAGCCTCTTGAGTGCTGGCACATAGGCACATCCTGCCACGCCCTTGCTGGAAGCGTGTGGCGATCATACGGTTCTGGTGGACACTCAGGAGCTGCCACAGCCTCCTTTGTGATGTAGTTTTTCAATTTAGCTATGAATTCTGGCCTTTAACCTGTTGTAAGTTGCTTGTATATGTGTATATGTGTGTGTACACATACATTTGCTTAATACATGCTATTTGAGGGGGTTATGTTTCTGACATGAGTGGTGTTTGTGCCCAAGTATGTGAAGGCCAGCACGTTGATTTGGGGGTCTTCAGTCGCTCCCTACCTTATTTTTCGAGACAAGGTCTTCTGCTGGACCTGGAGCTCACCGATCCTGCTAAACTACTTACCAAGGAGCCCCAGGACCCCTTCCAGCTCCTCCGCCAGGCCTGACTGTTGCCATGGCACTGAGGATCTGAACTCAGGTCTTCATGGTTGCACGGCAAGCACTTTACCAGATTAGCGGCTGCTCAAGCCTCCTACCTTGCTGCTGCTTCTCAGTCACTAGATAGTTCAGTTTTTGACATTAGTTTGACATCTTTTATAATTAACTTATCACATATCTACCTGCTGGACATTTGTCCAACTGCTGAAAGTGTGCTGTGTCATTTCTCTTTGCGTTAGGATGTTGTTCCACAAGCATTGCTAGATCAGTACTTGTCGATGACTGACCCCTCCCGGGCACAGACCGTGGACACTGAGATCGCCAAGCACTGCGCCTACAGTCTGCCAGGCGTGGCCCTGACTCTAGGCAGGCAGAACTGGCACTGCCTGAGGGAGACATACGAGACCCTGGCGTCAGACATGCAGGTGAGCAAGAGCCGGGAAGGTAGCACAGCACTTGGCTTCCAAAATCTGAAGAGGTCTGTGTCCCAGCAAGTGCGTGGTGTCACAGAGAGCCATGACAGCTTAGCGCAGTGCCAGACAGCAGCTCTCATGGTAGACACGTGTTGTCCAAGCTTATCAGAGATGGCATTCTTGAGGCTAAAAGATGGCATCTCCTCCTAAAACTGCTGCTGTAAGCACTTTTCTCGTTTTACACTTGACTCTTGATTTTTCCACATCTTAGCAGAACTGGATTCTAGACCTATGTTTTGGTGCCTGGGTGCTCAGAGCTTTAAAGTGCACACATCCCTTGAGAGAACATAAGGGTAAAACCATTGACCTAGAGGGTTGTATGTGGACATCTGACTTTTTGTCTCTGTCAAAGCTTCCACTTAATCTCCCCTTGTTCAGCTTCATTTCTTCTATATGCCAGAAATTTGACCCTCCTGCCCCCTACTCATTCCAAGAAACAAAACCAAAAAGCTAATAACAAAAACCCTTTTAATTTTTTTTAGTGAAATTATTACTTCTCATAAAGAAAAGTGTTGTTGGGACTAGTTTCCACAGGTAGTAAATGCAGTGGTTACTACCCATCCAAGATGAGAGTGCTGCTGACTCAGCAGGCCAGAAGAACGCTGTAAGAAGGCCCTCCAAGCGTCCTGCTTGCTGGCTGTGGGCAGAGAGCCACATGGGCCCAGTTCCCATCATGTGAATTCTGCCATCAGCAGTTTCAGTCTCGGCGAGCTAGGGTGCCCCGTCCGCGGCCGTCCTCCACGGGACATCTCTGCCTTTGTCTCTTTCATGTGATGAGCTAGTGTTGTGCAGGTTTATGGTGTGCGCGCTATACACACACAGACATCCTTTTTTCTTTCTTAAATTATCGGTTTCACACAAGCGAGTTTTGGGGCACGATAACACAGTATAATATCCTGAAGGGAAGCACTGTGGGGTGGCACATAGTGGTATTTACTATGAATGGGAGTCAGCAAGTCAGGGAGCTAGTGCTCAGAGAACCACAGAAGTCTTATAGGGAATCCCAAACTTCTTTCTTTTTAAGGGGAAGGGAAACCCTAAGTACCGTAAAGAATTTGACATTTTTATCACAACTTTTGATAGACGATACACTTCTAAACTTAATGTGTATTCATTCTATTTTGATGTAGTTTTTTGGTTTTGGGATGAGGTCTCAACTCTGTAGCCCTGGTTGATCTGGGACTGTATGTAGGCCAGGCTGGCCTCAAACTCAGAGGTCCAACTGCCTCTGCCTCCCAAGTGCTGGGATTAAAGGTGTGATGGAATATTTTTAAGTACATGTGTGCATGTGGGTACCGGTGGGTGGTGCATGTGGGCCTGCATGCGTGCGTAGGGGCAGAGAACACTCTGGATTCGGGTCCTACCAACTGTGGGGTGCTTGGGCTGAACACTTCCTTTCTTACCTATGCACAGGTGCATCTACCTGCTGGGTGCATCTCATTGGCCTGATCTAACTTCTTGAGAATAATAACGTTCAAAGTACAAATCACTTTGATTTAGTGTTCTAACAGTTCTTATTTCTGCAGTGGAAAGTTCGAAGAACTCTAGCGTTCTCCATCCATGAACTTGCGGTTATTCTTGGAGATCAGCTGACAGCTGCTGATCTGGTTCCAATTTTTAATGGATTTTTGAAAGACCTCGATGAAGTCAGGATAGGTGTTCTCAAGCATTTGCATGACTTTCTGAAGGTAACTTCTAAATCCTTTGGCATAAAAACTAGAATCTACTCTGAGCCTAAATTTCCATTTCTTTTTAGCGCTAGCAGCGTTTCTGTTTCTCACTAAAGAAATGTAGCTGCAGCTTTTTGTTGTGGTATGGCATGCTTTTCCACGTCAACACCTTCCGTTGTGTTAAGTTCGGTCTCTTCCGTGTGGGGTCTGCTTGGCTGATTTCTTACAGCCACACAGGAAGGAGCCTTACGTGTGTGTCTGTACATCACATGTGTGCAGAGCCTGTGGTAATCAGAAGGGGGTCGGGTTCCCTGGAAGTGGAGTTACTGCCACGTGAGTGCTGGAAACAGAGCCTAGCCCTCAGCAAGAGCAAAGTGCTCTTGGCTACTCAGCAGGCTCTCCAGTGTTCATTCCCATTTTAAAGCAAGGAGAAGGGCTGGGAGATGGCTGCTGCATTCACTGTGAAGGCGAAGACTGAGTTCCCACTCCGAGCACCTGTAACTGTGGTGATGGGGTGTGGAGAGGAGCAGAGTACAGGAGATAATTGGCTGGCCAGCCAAGACGGCACGTCAGTGAGAGACCCTGTCTCAGGAAATAGACTAGAGCACCACTGACAATTCCCAGTGTTCTGCACCTATGAGCATGCCTGCCCACACGCACATGCACGCTCACGGAGTAAGACACAGCTGCTACATTTCTTCTTCAGGGTAATTGCCGTATTTTTAGTCTTACAAAAGAAAAAAAATGTCTGTCTTGTCCTAGTTAAATAAAAACACTTCACTTTGTTACTCTAGCTTCTTCACATTGATAAAAGACGGGAATATCTTTATCAACTCCAGGAGTTTTTGGTGACGGATAACAGTAGAAACTGGCGCTTCCGAGCTGAACTGGCAGAGTAAGTTCCAACAGCCTGTGGCGTTGTCTCATGTCTACCTTGTGTTTGCTCCTGGCTTCCCGCACCTCCATGTTCTGTGCCTTCTGGCTGCCCTGATTCCATGGATTTGGGTATTAAGAAGTCTGCTTGTGTCCATTGTCACGTTGCTCTGTACTGTGGCCTGTCACTTAGGGTGGCATTGCCTTTGCTGGGGGTAGGGGCTGGGTTTCAGTTGGCTTTTTTCCAGCATTCTGTTCCAGCCGCAGCTCCCAGCTGAGAGGCCCTTGGCCCTGGGCTTTCTCAGAGGTTGTCCCTCCCCCGACACAGGTGCGGGTCCTCCTGTCTCCTGCAGTAGTAGCTGTTGACTATCAAAGAAGGCCCTCCGCATCCATTTTTAAGTTGTACACAGTTCTTTTGTGTACCACATGTGTGCCTCTAGAAAGGGTGTCAGATCTCTGCAACTGGAGTGCTTGTGAGCTGTCGGGTGTTGGTCTTACAATTTTTTTTTTTTTTGGCAGGTACCTCTTGTTGCACACTGTCACCTCAAGTGACATAGTTTGTGTCCCCAGGGACTTGCCTCAGAAACTAAGGCCTATTGCTGTGGCTACAGCAAATGCCCTGAAAGACTGCTCTAGGTCCTGGCTGGTGAGGGCATGGTCCCGCTCCGCTCTCCCCGAGCTCATCTGTGCCTCTGGAGGCTCAGCACTTTCTAAGCCAGCACAGTAGGGAGTCCACGCAGGGTGTTCCAGTGAACAGGCGAGGCAGCACGTGGCAGCACGTGGCTCCGTCTTCCTTCCTGAACGCTTTAGTTTTTGTTGACACTAACAAAATACCTGGCGCTGGGTAATGTGTAGGAGAAACTGCTTGTTTGGCATATGCTGTTAGTAGCTGTTAGTGGGAATGGGCTGGCTCTGCTTTGGAAACTGCCAGCACCTGTGTGGAGAGCTCCCAGAGGCTGTGCTCACTGCACTCTGTGCACACACACAAAACACTGTGCCACTGAGCTTTGTCCTTAGCCTGCTATCACCACTGAATGGCCCAACCCATTCCAGAACAGCAACATTCCACGAGGACTGTGGGGCTCCACCTCTCAGTACAGCCCCACTGGACACAAGTTACCATCACGTGAACCTCTGGGGACAAACCATGACCACCTGCCAGCCCGCCCCACACAGTGTCCCTCGGGGAGTGGCATGCCTTGAACTCACTGGTGTCGAAGCCCCTTTCTGTGTATTCCAGCCTAGAAGTTGCTCTGCGCAGAAGCCTGCCTAATATAAGAACCTGGTGTCCAGGGTTACAGAGTGTTTACATGATTAACCTGTTGTCTTATTTTTAAGCCGTGGGTGAATTTTATTTTTGTCATTTGTATCTTTGTAGACAGCTGATTTTACTTCTAGAATTATATAGTCCCAGAGATGTTTATGATTACTTACGTCCCATTGCTCTGAATCTGTGTGCAGACAAAGTTTCTTCAGTCCGCTGGATTTCCTACAAGTTGGTATGTTTGAGCTTGCTGGCCTTTCCATCAGTGCTGTGTCCAGTGAGAGGATAGAGACAGCCTTACCTGTGCTTCCCTCTAGGTCAGTGAGATGGTGAAGAAGCTCCACACAGCATCACCCCCAACATTTGGAGTAGAGCTCATCAACGAGCTGGTGGAGAACTTCGGCAGGTGTCCAAAATGGTCTGGTCGGCAAGCCTTTGTCTTTGTCTGCCAGGTAAGAAAGGCCTGGGCACACCCACTCACCGAGCTTCACCCGGTCCCCCTCTCTCCAAGCTTCTTCCTTAATCATGAGGAACTCAAGTTCCTCTCTGGCTGTCTATTGTGAGGTTGCATGCTTCTCGAAGTTAGACATGTGTCGGCGTCATTCAGCCAGCGCATCTGAAGCTGCCATAACCAAGTACCATCTGCATGTCCCCACATGCACACACCACAGGGCCCACCAGAATGCTGGTTGGAAATAAAGGCACGGACTGGCTGCCCTGGGTCTCTGCAGAGTAGTTTAAAACTAACTTAAACCAAGTGTGGTGGAATACAGCACTTGAAGCAGACAAAGAGGATCACGAGGTCAAGGCTAGCCCCAGCTGACCTAAATGGAAAGGGGAAAGTTAGTTGAGGGATATAAATAAAGATTTAGCTGGTGACAAACCCTAAACTCAAAAGGAAAGGTTCTGAGTGCTTTGCCACCACCAAGGGTAGGGGCAGCATTTCCATTAGATAGAAAATGCCTTTACCCTGATTGGCACATACAGGGTCATGGAGCATGCACACCGTATGCCCATTTAGTTCTGGTTCCGAGTCCCACACCCCGGGAATTCCACAGCACTCAAGTTGTTGCTGGGGGGTTCTGTCCTCTGAGGGTCTGGGCTCTGGCCAACTGAAGAAGCACTTGTTGTTTTCCACCAGACTGTCATTGAAGACGACTGCCTCCCCATGGACCAGTTTGCTGTGCACCTGATGCCGCATTTGCTGACCTTGGCAAACGACAGGGTTCCAAATGTTAGAGTGCTGCTTGCAAAAACGCTACGACAGACTCTGCTAGAGAAAGGTGGGTGGCAGCTGATAAGACCGGTGGACAGTGAGGATGTTCACAGAGGCCAGGCAAGGGGGATGTACACCTTTAATCCTGGCACTTGGAACGCAGAGGCAGGTGGGTCTCTGTGAGTGCCAGAGCAGCCTGGTCTACAGAGTGAGGTCCAGGATATCGAAGGCTATGCAGAGAAACCGTGTCTGGAAAAAAAAACAAAAAACAGAACACTAAAAGGTTTTAAATTAAAAAATACTGGTATTTAGGTGAAATTTTCTTTTATCCTAGACATAAGTATTTTTGTAACTTGAAGTTTAGTGATGATGGTGTTTGGGGAGATGGCTCAGTCTCTATAAAGTAACGGTTCTGCAGATATGAGGCTCTGCATTAGATCCCAAGAGCCTGTGTGACAGAACCTGTGGTAGTGAGCATCTGGCCCAGTGCTGGGAGGCAGAGATAGGCAGATCTCCGGAACTTAGTGGCCATCCAGGCCTGCCAAGTTGACAAGCTTAAGGTTCAAAGAAAAAGCCTGTCTCAAAAAATAAGAGGGGGAATGCACTCAGTGCCAACTCCTGGCCTCCACACACACAAAATACATCCATACATAGACAGATTGTTTGATAATTTAAGTAATGGGGGGCACCCAAAGCTACTTGGCAGGTTAAGGGACTGAAGACCTGAATTGAGTCCCCATTGTCCCCCACAGGATAAAAGGAGAGTTATGAACTCCTAGAAATTGTTCTCAGACACCCATATATGCATGCCAAGGCTTGCCTGTGGCTTGTCACCTGACCCTCAAGCACTGTGGCTGAGTCTAGGAGGCTCGTCTTTTCTATTCGTTCATTAGCAGAAGCTGGGCACCCCACTGTGTTCTTTGGTACTGTGACTACTCTCTCCAAATGCCACATTAAGTTGAATGTGTGAATTCATGAAGTATAAAAGAAAAACTTGGAGTAAACCTTACAGGATAAGAATAAATCAATACTTTTTTTTTTCTTTGTTATCCTTACACATTTTATTATTTACTGTTTTTTTGAGACTGGGTTTCTCTGTGTAGCCTTAGTTGTCCTCAGACTTGCTCTGTAGACCCAGGCTGGTCTTGAACTCACAGAGATACTTCTGCCCAAATCCCCCAAGTGCTGGGATTAAAGGTATGCTCCTCCACCACTAAGCTTCCCCCTCTGATAGATGTTTATTTATTATTTATACATTACTCTGCCTGTGTGTACACCTGCACACCTGAAGAGAACACAGGATCTTCTTATAGATGGTTGTGAGCCACCATGTGGTTGCTGGGAATTGAACTTGGGACCTCTGGAAGAGAAGCCGGTGCTCTCAACCTGTGAGCCATCTCTCCAGCCCTCCCTCCCCCATACACATTTTTAAAAGAACAGTAAAATGGCTTTTTATTCCCTTCAGGAAAAGGGTCTATATATAACTGGTGTTTAACAGTGGCTTTCCCTTTCTGGGCTAATAGCTAAAACTGTTCATCACTTTAATAAACATGAGCTAATTCACTACAAGAGATTTGTCCATTTTAAAATGAGAACGTTCACAGTCCCTCTAAGTCTAGTGCTTTTTTTTTTTTTGGCAACAAAGGAGGTTGCCAGCTCTTTGCGTCGGCACCCAGCTTACACTCAAAGCTGGGTTTAGCAGTCAGTGAGCTTCCTATGCCTGACTAACCTTGTGTGCCGCGCCTTTCCAGAGTACTTCTTAGCTTCCGCCAGCTGTCACCAGGAGGCCGTGGAGCAGACCATCATGGCCCTTCAGATGGACCGAGACAGTGACGTCAAGTACTTCGCAAGCATCCACCCCTCCAATACCAAGATCTCTGAAGATGCAATGAGCACAGCATCCTCGACCTACTGAGAGCCTGAACTGTGGCGTCCTTCCTGCTTCCACAGAGCCGAGGCTTCGCTGCCTGCACAGTCGGGGACAGCTGTGGGGGGCTCCCTCCTGCCAACTCATTCGCAGGTGCAAGTTGCCTACTCCTAATACCAGTGGTTTTAAGAGTCAAGAGAAAGTACAGTAAACACTATTATCTTATCTTGACTTAAGGGAAAGTAAATTCTCAGAGGATTATAATTGTCACCAAAGCCTTAACTCGTTACTTCATCTTCCTGACTGAATGACTTGAATTGGCAGAGCATTTTCCCTTCGGGAAGGATGAGGTTCCCAGAGACCTGCATTGCTTTCTCCTGGTTTTAGTTAACGGCTGATAATGACATTCTTACGGCCAGAAGGTGGACGCACACCGGACAGAAAGGCCTTCAGTATTAGCCTAAGCATTTCTTCCAGGTGCGGAGCCTCTTGAGCTCCCTGGCTGCCCTGCCCAGCCCTAAGTGTGAATAGTTCTTGGCGTATATAAATGACAGAGGAGATTGTTTTTTTTTTTTTTTTTTTTTTTTCATTTCTCCTAAGGGCTTGATGTTAACACTAAGCAGAGTCTGACCTGACTCCTAGCGCAGCACACTGCTGTAACACTCTCAGAGTGTTTGCAGAATCTCTCCATTGTTTTCATGCTGGTCATGACCTGAAGGAAATTTCTTAGCACGAGTATTGTGTCAGGTGTTTTTAACTTGATCATGGTCAGCTCTGAGGTGCAACTTTCTCTTCCCACGCTGCACACACCTGTGGCCACTCTGGGGCGTGTGGCCTTAATCATGCTGTTGAACTGTTGTGGCACAAGTTCCAAATAAAGTTTATTAATAGGACCTATAGAGATACCACCACTTTGTTCCTAATGTCTGCAAATAAATGCAATATGGGACCTGTGTACTTAGCCTAAGATGGGGGAAGATTAAAAGATTTGTCTTTAACTAGCTCAGTAGTCTCCTTGGACTCTGCCAGGGCTAACCGGTCAGCCCTACTCTTGGCAGACAGCAGCACCCTTATCCTGACACTCCTGAAATACAGAAAGCACCTCGACGCCTTGACTTCCTCATCTGTGAGTTCCACAGGGCTGCACAAGAGCCCCAGAGCCTCTGAAGGCGCTGCATGCTGACGTGCCTGGGTGCTCTCCTGAGTGTCGCTTTACCCATGCTCCTAGGATGCCACAATAAGTCAGAACTACACTTTTCAGATGACTCGGGGTGGGTATCAGAAGACACGGCACAGACAACCCTGTGCAGTAAAAATGTGAGTGTGGAGAATTCCACTGTCAAAGGCGTTGACGTGGATAAAGGCCACACTAACGCACCGCATACAGTGTGTCCCAGCCTTACAGAGACTCTGGAGGCAACAGCAGAGCTTGGGTAGGGGAAGAGGGCAGCTTGGACTTCACTGCTCCAAGGTCAGAAGGTCACGCTACTACAGTAACCCACTTTTGCCCTCAGAACTTTAGTTCTGTCTGTGATGTTACCACTGCAGATTTTAACACAGTGGCAAGGAAAACTATTTTAGGGTCCAGAATTTTAACCTATGGTGCTGCCGCAGCGAGCAGTGAAAGGGTGTGGCTTCCTGCTGCTTGACACCCTCCTGGGGCAGCCCTCCAGATCCCCCTTCTAGATCTCAGTACAGTCAGCGGGCCCTGCAGCAGCTCTAGCCCATGCAAAAGCCTGCCCGGTTTTAGTGATCTCTGAATTTAAAATAAGGATCTCCATTGCTGTGATAACACCATGACCAAAAAAAAAAAAAAAACCTTGGGAGGGAAAAGCATTTGACTTCACTTCCTAATGACAGCCCATCATCAAAGGCAGGCAGTGGGAACCATGGAGGAGCGCTGCTTACTGACTTGCTCTCTCACGGAGCCCAGCCTAGGGGTGGGATGACCCACACTGGGCTGGGCCCTCCCACGTTAGTCCTGTTAAGAAATGCCCTGCAACAGTTACTTGAGTGACTCCAGGTTGTGTCAAGTTGGCAAAAACTAAGCTGCACAATTAGCCCTTTGTCAATCACTATTCAGCTATAACCTTTCCTTTGTCCCCAATACCTCATATGTCAATATCACAATATAAAACTGTAAAAGTCCTACTGTCTTTATGTCTTTCAACACTTTTACAAGTCCAGTACCTCTTAAGTCTTAATTGTGGGCTCCTATGAAATAAAATAAAATAAAACAACTTGCATACTTTCTTCTCCTAAGGGAAAAGCCAGGACACAGTAACAGATGAAATCAACTCCAACAGTGTAAATAAAGAGCTCAATGTCCGGAACCCTGAACTCGCAGTCTTCATGGCTCCATGGGCTTCTCCAGCACACACAGCTCGTCTCCTAGGCTCGGCCTGCCCTGGTCTAACCCTGCCCCTGTCCTGGCATCTCCAGCATGCTGGGGTCGTTCTGTACCTATGGCTCCAAGTCCCAGTGGCTTCTAGGTTCTTCAGCTTCTTCTTCTAGCTTCTCTCCATGACAATGCCTGCAGTCCTGGAGCCGCCACAACTGAGGCTCCGGACCTTCACCTCCTGGTCTCTGTAGGAACCTCAGCCTCTCACGCCCTGCCAAACCAGGACCCTGTGGAAGAGCTACCAAACTTGAGGGGCAGCTTTGCCCGCCCTCGACCATACCTTCTGTGTGCTGACCCTGAGGAAGTACTTCCCCAGAGACTTGACCTCAACACTGCTGCTCTCATTGAGCCCGGCGTAAAGGGTACTGGTCTCTTGTTAAGCACAGCTCATCTTCCAGCCCTAGCTGACCAGAAACAGATTCTTTATTCAGAATGTCAGGCACAGCAGTATTTTTCCAGGGCTCGCATTTCTCTCAGTACTTTCCAGGCCCTGACGGAGCAGCTCATGAAGCTCGGAACTTCACGCAGCTTTTCCAAAGTTGCTATAGCCCTCCCCAAAACAGCAGGCTCCCATCTGGCCAGCAGTGTTCTACCCCAGACCCGCTTCCATCCTACTTGGCTTCCCACTGCTCTGATAAAACACCTGTCTCCGCCGACAGGGGGCCAGGGCAGAAGCCTGGAGGCAGGAGCTGATGCAGAGACTGGAGGAGCACTGCTTCCCTGCTTCCCGGCTTCCTGAGGCTTACTCAGCCTGTTTCTTTCATACACCTCCGGGCCACCTGCCCAGGGTGTCACTGCCCACAGGGAGCTGGGCATTCCCGTACCAATGGAAAGAAAGATACTGGTCAGACGTGCCCACAGTCCAGTCTGTCGGAGAACAGTTCCTTACCGACTTTCCCTCTTGCTCCGTGTATCTGGTATTTGTCCAGGGGTCAGAGACCAGCTCAGGGAAGAAGCAGACATGTCTACGACAGCCCGTCACCAAGGCAGCCTGGAGGGACACTGCTTCCTGGCTTGCTCCCCTTGGCTTACTCAGCCTACCTCGTACACTTGAGGGCCGCCTGCCCAGGGTCCCCCACAGTGTCCCATGGGCAACTCTGACGGAGGCCATTCCTCAATGGAGACTACTTTTCCCTAGTGACTCTGGTTTGGGCTAGGCTGATACGTAACCAACACACCATGTCACCTGTAACGTCAGCGCCTCAGTAGCCGACACGGTGAGGGTGCAGGAACAGCCCTGAGCTTCCAGAATGGCCAGCTGCAGGGAGCAGTAAGTCTGCTGAGGAAGCAGACAGACAGAAACAGACTCAAAACCCACAAAGCCAAGGCTACACAGAGACCCTGTCTCAAAGAAACCTATAAAGCCAGGTCCCCCAGGGAAAGGCAACAGCAAAGCAATTAGGGCTTGAAGCAATTTTCCTGATGTAAAAGCAGATAAAGGGACAGTGTGTTCCATGAGTTCATGAACAGCACAGGATAAATACTTGCAGCAGAATGCCGGCCAACCCAGAGGCCACACTTAACACCAGCTCAGCAGTTGACACGCAGAGCCCGGCCTGGTCGGTCCCAAGTGCTCCCGCTTCCCAGCCCACTCCCTCCACAGTTCACGTGCCACACCTGGTTGCTTGGGGCGCTCTTTGGCATCAGCCACAGTTACTCAGCACTTAGGCCCAGCAACCTCTGTCTTGGACACAGTCTACCATTTACCCGGCAGATGTAGCAGTCAAGACGCAGGGTGTGTGCTAGAGTCGCATGACATCCTGAAACCGTTGAGTTTCAAACTTACAGATGTACTGTTTTACAGTCCTACAGCAATGCCGACCTGAGCGAAGAGAATGAAGCCCGGGGTGCTGCCAGGGCCCACTCCAGGGTGCCCTCCTAGGGAAGATGCCCAGGTGCCAGCCAGTGCAGAGGGGTCATGGCTGGTCCCCGTCCTCCACAGGACTTGTGACCATTCCCTCTGCAAACTATCCATGTCAAGTCTGACAGCAAAGAGAACTAATGTAAATATTTTTTTAAATCTCTATGAAAAATTCAAGACATTTTGGTGGGCCTTTTGCAGACAGCTAAAGACACCTCCCAAAGAAGGGATCTCGCTTTTTCTTAGAGATGGAATATTCAGCACTGTCTTGCCTAGAGGATCTGCAGTCCCAGACAGCAGCTAGGAGTGCAAGCTTCAGTTCAGGGAGGAAAGCACCTGCCTGTCTCTGCCTCCCCTGCGCTGGAATCACGAGCATGAAACATGAGGCCTGGCTGTATGCACGCGTATCTGTTGCCTACATGTCCATATGGAGGCCAGAGGCTGAAACTGGTGTCCTCTACCACTGTCCGCCGTACTTTTTGAGGCAGGGTCTCCCTCTGAACCCAGGGCTCACTGTCTCCACCTCCACAGAGGTAGAATTCCAGGTGCTCCCTACCACACCTGGCTTCTTAGGGACGGTAGGGATCTGCGCTCAGCTCCCGTACTTGCACAGCCAGCACCTCCCTCACCAAGCTGTCTCCTGAACCCACAGCCGGCTTGCAGTGTGGCCCCGAGGACTGAGCTCAGGCCTCCATGCATGCGTGAGTTCTTTCCCGCCAACCCTCAGCCACACTGATCAGCACAGGAACACCTGCAGTGCAGAGCTCAGCGCTGTGACAGCCGTGGGTCGCCACACCTCTGCCCTAACATGCCACACCAGGGTGTCTGGAACCTTCTGTAAACCATCATCTACATTAATTTTGTGAAGTTTAACTGTACAAAACAGAGAATCCAGATCTTTGTCATACTTAAATAACAGGTATTTCAATTGTGAAATGAGCAGGCTTTTATTCCAGAACAGCACATCCCTTCACTCTGGCTGCCCTAAGGCTCCCTTCACATTTATAATGCAACCCCTGTAAACTCCAACAGCCAGGTCCAACTTGTCCTAGAAAGCAACGCTGGCTCTCCCAATGGCACCAGAAATTTGTCAAGAGTCGGGAGCTGCACACCTGAGCAAGTGCTTCCGTCAGCAGCCGGCACGGGTGAGGAAGGGAGGGACCAACAGCAGGACCACACTCACTGTAAGGGACACAGGTGAAACAGAATCCCTCATTCACCCTTGACCTTGCAGCACTTCCACCAACTGTGTCAGCTGCTGAGTTTGCAATTATTTCAAAGAAAAGAGTATACAAGAAAAAGCTTTTTCTCAAATGGCTGTTGAATTTATTTCCTTGATCAATAATGGTCCTGGCAAAAATTAGTTAACCAACATTGAGACACTAATAATGAAATTCTAATTTTAAAAACCCATGATACCTTGATAGAAATTAGAATTTACACAAACAAAAAAGTCTTCAATATTGCCAGCAAATATAAAATAAATGTGGTACATCTGACAGGACATAGCAAGGCGTTTATACATTTATATTTGACACCTGACCATATTTCCAGTCACCATAATATCTTCTCTCCAGATTTAAAAAAATAGTATGCTGATTTCTATAACAAAGCTTTTTTTTTTCCTCGTACAAAAATCAAATAATGGCCAACAAGTCACAACAGTGCAATAGGTAGAGGCTAAAAAGAAATCACATAAAACAGGTGCTGAAAGAAACACTAACTAGGAGGGGTTTGGAGCCCTGTGTGGGTTGTTTCTCACTTTAGTGTGTGGGGTTTGTCTTCAGAGCCACAGGGGACCTCCCATGGGGCCATTCATCGACAGTGCGGCCCAGAGTCAGGCCTCCAGACACCACGGAGCAGTCGTCTGACCTAGAAGCAAACACCAGGTGGGGTAACTGCAGCTATCATTTTCCCTACTGCTGAGTTCTGTAGAGGGAGTCCTCAGGCAGCTCCTGAGGTGGACAGTTAAAACTCCTGTGTGAGAGCATCTGCATGGCTTATCCTGGCAGAGGTGTGTGCTTCCTGGCCCGAGCCAGCAACTGAAATCATCTGGTTTTCCTGGAAGGTCAGTGTGTGAATGGTCTCTGGTTTGAGAAGCATCCTTGTGTGAACACCTCAGGGTCAAGGTGGTCACCCCTGACCACCTCAGAAAAGGCCTTTGCTTGATCCCTGGCAGTGAGTGACTGAGCCTGCACGGCAAAGCTGTGGCAGGCTGCTCGGGGAACTCCTAAACTAGGCCGTCCTGAGGACTCACGCTGCCAGACTTGCCTCAGAACTGGAAAAGCCAAGTGGTACAGGGCGGGCAAGGGAACACCCAGCGAGAGCCTTTTGGCCAGTCAGAATATGAGGCAGCTCCCCACTGAACAATCTGCACCAAAAGGTGTGGAAGGCACAAGCAAGAGTGGCCAGAGACCCTGCGGGGCTGGCGAGACCACGAGCGTCCACAAGGCAGGCGCAGGAGTGACCTGGTTTGGTTCCCACCCTTTGATAAGAAAAAGATCCTGATTCTGCTGTGATAAAAAAAAAAAAAAAGACGATTTTTTTTTTTTGGTTTAAAAGAAGCCACTCAAGGGTTAAAATATTTTTTAACAAAATTAATTTTCAAATAAGCTGACACTGGAAACGCCTGTGTCCCTGCAAGCTCCCGGTGTGGCCGCTGCTTCACCCCCCTGACCTGAGCCTGACAGGAGCCAGGTGCAAGAGCACCTGCGGCCCTTGACAGAGTGTACAGCAGGAAAGGCGCTGGCTCGCTTACAGTAAGATGCACAGGGCCCGGCTGGCGGTCAGATGGCTGTCTCCTTCCGGTCTTTGCTGGGTGAGGGCTTGGCCTGCTCCTTAGCTGCTCTGACCTCAAGGGCACCGTCGCAGGGTGGTGGGCCTGTGCCCCCTCGTCTCTCCGGCTCCTCCTCCTCCTGCAGCAGCTGCTCAGACTTGGCTCGCTGCATCTGGAGCAGACGGAGCTGCACTCGCAGCTCGATGATGGCCTCACGCTCCTCGTGAACTGCTTGGTTCAAGTGATTGTTCTTTATCTTAAGGAAAAGACAGAAGGGGCAGTCAGCACTTATTCAAGGTCAGAAGGACAAGGGAAAGGCAGAGCCTTTTAGCCAACCTGGCTGGTGTGGCAGATAGGAACATGCAAATGACCAGATAAATACAGCTCCCAATGGGGGAAGCATAGCCTGCCTGGAGTTACAAAGGAGTAAGCACACTTAGAGAACAAGGTGTCAACACAGACAGTTATTTTAGAAAGTATTTCCTGCTTAGCTGGGCTTTCTTCCTTACTCTGGTTTCTCAACAGCCTTCAACGGGCGTACAAAAGTAATTTTAGTAGCAATCAGGAGAGGGAATTGGAACTGGGAAAAAAGCTGAGATTCTTTTCCACTCAGAATGCGCCTTTACTGACTACCTGCGAAGTGCGCTAGGTAAGGCCTGCAGGAGACGGAGATCTCTTCCAAGCTCTGTACTCATTCAGCAGTCCTGGCAAGGCACTACACGCACGTGCTTGCCGCCCCCGCTTGTGCAGCAACTGCCCCTCCATGAGCACTCTCCTCTTCCTCAGGATTCTCCCAGCAGCCTAAGCAGCAGGGTATGCCATGTGACTAGACCTTTGTTCAAGGTGGGTGATCACAAGTATGAGCCCCACTTACATACCCGAACATTGGGTGCGCCCTGACCCTTCTCTCCCCTAAAAGAACACAGCAAGACTCGGTAGATTTGGCCCAAAACAGGAAAGCTGTGTGAATAATGGGCCTTCACAATCCACACAGCCAAACACTATGCTAATTCTGCCATTTGTCTTCCTGTTCAGGAAAACGAAGAGACCAGTGTGGTCTTCTAAATGACAGAGTCCCCAGCAACCCACATCTCACAACTGCCTGCTTCCTTTTTGTTTTTCTAAACAAGGTCTCAACTATGTAGACCAGGCTGGCCTCAAACTCGGAGCCCCATCTGCTTCAGGCTGCCTGAGTGCCGGGGACACTTAATGGCACAGGTGTGTGCGCAAAGGTGTCAACACACAGGTGTGCATGCACACGGCGCTCGGAGGAGAGCTTGTCCTCAGGCTGCAGAGCAGCACCTTCACCTGCTGGACTAGCTCCCAGGATCCCTGCCTGCTTCTGCCCCAGGACGGACCCCTGCTGAACGAGTGTTATCAACATCAGCAGCCTCTAACCCTGCCCGCCTCCACACAGACAGTAAATGGGTAGGCGCCCTGGGCAATTCCCGAGGCCTTTTTATGTGCATTGGCGTTTGGCTGCATGTATGTTTGTCAGGGTGCTGGACCTGGAGTGACAGACCGTCGCAGCTGCCATTGGGTGCTAGCACTCGAAGCCAGATCATCTTGAAAAGCAGCTCTTAACTGCTGAGCCAGCTCGCCAGCCCCCAAAATGATAGTTTGCACATTTTTCTGCTGTTGTTTTTTTGAGCTTTGACTGTCCTGGAGCTCACTCCATAGGCCAGGTTGGCCTCAAACTCAGGGAGCTTCCTGCCTTTACCTCCTGACTGCTGGGACTATAGGCACTGACTGTTCTTAGAGAGGTCCTGCGTTCAATTCCCAGCAACTACATGGTGGCTCACAACATCTATAATGAGATCTTGGTGCCCTCTTCTGGCATGCAGATAGAGCATTCATACATAAAATAAATATATTTTTTAAAAAATGCCCTTGGAGGGCTAGGCGTGGTGACATGCCTATGATCCTCCGTGCTCTGGGAGGCACCGGCAAGACCAGCCTGGTCTACAAAGCACGACAGCCAAGGATACACAGAGAAACCCTGTCTCAGAAAAGAAAGAAAGGAAAAGAATGCCCTTGGCTTCCTCTGTGCTGGTCTCCAGCAGGACACCATGCATTCTCAAGCACATTTTGGAAATTGCTGACTTTGGCTAGTGCCCCCCTCCCAAACTCACCTCCAGCTCTTCATTCTGTCTCTGTAAGTCTTCCAGAATGAGCTGCAGCTCCTCCTCGTCCTCGCTCTCACTCTCACTCTCAGAGGAGTACTCCTCGGTTTCACTCCGGCCGTGCTGCTGGCGACTGCAGAGACACAAGGAGCTTTAGACCCATCTCTTTCTTTCTTTTCTTTGTGATTTATTTATTACATACACAGTGTATTATATACACAGACACAGTGTCTGTCCGCAGGCAGACACACGCTGCTTTACGCCGTGCTCGTGAGGCCGACTGAGCGATGCTGCCTTGTGACTTGCTAAGAAGCTTCCAGTGACTGACTTCAGAAACCCAGTTCTTTTGTGGTAATGTGGAAACCATGGTTCTCAGCCTATAGGTCGTGACCCTTGGAAGGGATGTTGGCTAAGACTGTCTGCTCTCAGACATTTATCTGCTATTTGTAACAGTAGCAAAAGACAGGCATGCAGCAGCAGCGTAGATAACGCTGTGGCTGGGGTCGCCACATGAGGAGCAGCAGTAAAGGTGGCAGCACCGGGAAGGCCGAGGGCCGCTACGCTGAGGCGCTCTGTTCCTATCAACAGCGCAGCTGCAAACGCCCAGCCTGTGGCTCCCGTACCTCTGGATCTCCGCAATCTCAGCTCTGAGGCGGTCGATCTCCTCTTTCTCCGAGGCGATCTGACGACGCAGAAACTGCTCCATGGCCAGGAGCTCCTCCTGCTCCGTCAGGATCTCATTCTCCTGAAAGGATGATCATGGAAGAGCCTTTCCAAGCTCTGCTACAGGAAATGCCTCCTTGCCGGGGCCTCCCCCATCACCCTGACTTGTCCAGCCCTGCTCCCCGCTCAACACACCGAATAGCACAGCCAAAGCCACTTCCTCAGAATCAAGAAAAGCTACACAAGTCATTCTGAGAAAATGTCTGGACTCTTCTCACCAACGAAATACTGCAAGACCCCAAATGTGTGCCTTCTACAAGGATCCCCACGAGCTACCACACCAGGACAGAGGACCAAACGTCACAATCTGCTTTGGCTTCCTGGGGGCTGGAAGGGTGGCTCGGCAGTTAAGAGCACTTGCTGGACCCAAGTCCAGCTCCCCACATCCACATCAGGGTGCTCCCAAACCACCTGCAGCACCAGCTACAGGGGACAATACAGCAGGGGACCCAACAGCAGGTACCTGAACACGTGTATATGCAACACATATGTGCAAAATAAACACAATCTAAAAATCATCTGCTTTGGCTTCCTGTCCCAGGATTCAGGGTCATGGTGACTTTCATACTGTCACTAGGAAAAGGACCCAGGAGATGGATGTGTTGTTGGTACCAGTGTCCAGTATAAGGCAGAGCGGAGGGAAGGAACGGCCCTCTGCTTCACGGGTCCCCTCCCTACACCGCTTGAGAAACAACAGATGGAGAAAGTCTGTCTGCAAACTCCATCTAGGGTCATCAGGCCTAGAGAGAGCAGCAGAGCAGGAATGAGGAACGGAGGCAAAAGCTTCAGCAATTCCTTCCAAAACAAGTTTGCAGTCCCGTGAGCACTGAAAAGCTATCAAGGGAGGCTGCTTCTTGTGTTTAAACACATGCACATTCTTCTTTTGCCTCAGGGTACCTATGGATGAAGTCAGCATTCCAAGAAACCTCAGATGGGAAACCCTGAAGAAAATAATCTGGGATATGTGTCTCCTCAGAGTTTCTGTCTCTGTTCTTGCTGATAAGAAGGTCTTGAGCACCTCTAAGTCAGGAAAATGCCTACAACACAAACTGTCGTGTAGACTTGATAAGACTAGGAACAGAGACTAGGAAAGTAGCTTCTTCCTCCACACTGAACACTTCAGCAACTACAGCACAAGGTAGGGCCATGAATAGGAACAAGTCCTTTGGACTCACATTACAATTTTGGTTTTGAAGTATATACTTGAGCTTCTATTTGAAAAATAACCAATAAAAGACCAGAAATTAAGAGTTTAGCTTACCTGGGCAAGAAGAATGTTTATAACCTCCTCATTTTCATTCATTTCTTCTTTGGAAACATCCTCTTTCGAAAGGCTGGCTATCTCCTGTGCAATCTTGGTTTCACACTCCTGTCAAAGACAAGCATTGTTCAGCCCACAAGTAACAAACGGCCTCTTAAACCCCAGCAGCAGGAGTAAGCTGTCTACAATGATGGGTGGACATTCGCTAACTGGCTTAGAATATAATATGGGTAGGACCGGGCAGGCAGACACACACCTTTAACCCCAGCACTCAGGAGGCAGAGGTAGGAGGATCTCTGTGAGTTCTTGGCCAATCTGGTCTACATAGTGAGTTCCAGGACAGCCAGGGTGACACAGAAAAAAAAAAAAAAACCCTGTCTCAAAAAACAAAGCCAGGAGTAGTGGCAGCTGCCTTTAATTCCAGCACTCAGGAAGAAAAAACAAGACAATTTAGTGAACTGGAGAGAAAAAAAAAGTATGTAAAGGGCTCCTGTTAGACTTCATGTCCTGAAACCTGGAGGGTAGCTGTAAAAATCTCAGAACTGTACTCCCAACAAAGCCTGTAACCTTGAAGCAAAAGGACCTAGGCGACTGTGTTTAAAGTCACCACAACAATCCGTTCCTCCAGGATCTGCATGTAGATTGCAAGGCCTCCCAGGGATGCAGATTCTAGCTTTGACATGCCTGGAAACTGAGTCCAGAGCCAAGCCTCACACACTACGCTAGTACAGGGCCAACGCAGCAGAGGTTTTACAGTTCTTCCAGTGACTGCACAAGCAGGATCCCCCTGGGTCTGCATACTGCATTTCCACTGAAACTAGCTTCTCAGCAGGCTCTCTCTAGGGATTCCCACCCAGCCCACAGCTTACCCTTAGACGCAAACCAGGCAGGAAAATAACAGTCACCTTTGTAATTAAAATAATTCTAAAACGTAAAGAAACATTTGATTCATACCAGGCTAAAATATGAACGACACAGAACAAGAACCACTTGTGTGAATAAATTTCCCACAAGGGAATTCAACAGACATGGATGCATTACGTTTAAAAGAAGTGACTTAGAGCAGTGAGGAGAGGGCTCTTCTACACGCCCATGTCTACCAGACAATGGACGAGAGAGAAACTCACTTGTCTTTTAGCTTCCCTCAGTTTTCTCTTGAGGGCGGTCAGAATCCTCTGTACTTCCCATAATCTTTCTTCCTTAGATAAGTCCTTTATCCCGCCCTGCAGATCTCGATGTAAACAGTTCAAAAGAAATTCCTAGAAAACAAGGACAAACGAAGTCTCCTCAGTGTCTCGTTATCCAAAAGCAGCACAGAGGTTTCTACGCTTCTCTGAGCACCAGCCATCTTTTTTGTTCTGCACCAAAAGAGCAGCGACAATTCTTCTCTCCCCCAGGACACAAGGAACAGCGTGCCCACCCCCATTTGTGTGACCTGGGAATTAGACCCCCATTCATTGTTTCTGGTAATTCAGTAGTAATTAATCCACATCTTCCTCTGCCCTCCTCCTCTCAGCAACTGATAAGAACAAGAAAAGCAGGCATGTGACAATGTTCATGCAAACACAATCAACAGGTGTTAAGGTTTTACTCCAGCTTGAATTTCTTACCAGTCTCACTCTCTGCCTCCCTGAAGATCCCCCTCCTCTGTCTGTCTGTCTCTCTCTCTCTCTCTCACACACACACACAAAAAACACACGCATTCTTTTTCACACACAATCTCATACACATAACATGCATACACCACACACAACACCACATACACTCACACATTACATACGCTTAGCGCACACAGATACATACTACATACACATACTCATAGCATGCAACATACACACAATTTACTGGGTCTCTTTTAGATATCAAAGTAGTATATAACAAAAAAGCTCAGCCTTGAGCTAAATCATGTCACAGAGTAAATTATTAAACATCCGTAATTTCCAATATTTTAGCTGTAAAATATGTTGGGTAACAGCACCTTGTCCAGAAAAGCAAATATTTTTGAGCTCCTGGCCATGGCGGAGTCTTCCCTATGTATTACCTCCTATCTACAGAACTCCCCGAGCTGATCCACTTTAAAATGAGAAGACCAAGGTTTAAGGGCGCTGAAATTAGTGTGTCAAGAATGAGCAAAGCGGAAATTTAAAGCCAACAAATTTAAAATCCTACACTATTTCCACCATGACTGTTTACTTAGACGGCATGAACTAGGATAGCTGGAAATGTGCCAGGACAAACATGTTCCTAGGTCAAGGGCAGAGCTTAGGGTGTGCAGAGCTCGGGGCGTGCAGAGCTTGCCTGAGGCCCTGGGTTCCACCCTAGAACTGCACAGAAGTGCGTGTGGTGCCAGAAGAGGTGGGGGCAGCACACAGGACACCACTCAGTGGCCCTCAGTGGCCAGCACAGACCAGGCAGGGAGGGGCAAGGAGAGGCAGGGCAGGGCTCGGGAAGGGCAGGCAGGGCGGCACACACCTGTCTCCTGATCTCTTCCTTGATGCCTGCCTGGGTCTCTGGCAGTGTGGGCATTGTGGCCATGTTGGACCATCGCAGAGGTCTTGTCACTTGCTTCAGGACCACAGTACCAAAAAGCTCTTGCACATGTGTGAAAAGCACGTACAGGACACGGTTGCTGATCTGCAGAAAATAGATTTAGAGTTGCAAAAAGCTGTCAACATGATGTTTCACTCTCCCTGCATCAGTCACATAGTGCAGCCTTTAATCCTGGACTCAGAACAGAAAGTCTCCACAGAGGACAAAATAGGCCTCACTGGTGATCAAGAAAACATGAAAGCCTGACTTAAATAATGGACCCACAGGGAAAAGCCAGTAAAGGAGACATACTGCCATCAATACGCACTTTCCTGCCGCCCATGAACTAATGGTCACTTCTACCTTATTATGGTACCTTTGCACACACAAAGTGATGCTCATGAGGATGGGGTGGGGGTGGGGGTGGGGAGCGGAGCACCTGCCTGCAGGTAGAGCTGGCAGCCACTGCTCTATGATGCTCCCTCACTAGGAAGCCAGAACTGCAGAATGGCTGAACAACGAAGACAAGACATCTTTTCCTGGCTTAAACTTTCTTATAATTCCCTTGGAATGTCTGTGGTTCAAGCATCCACATTATGGCAATGTTGAGTAACAAGGTAGTACTGACCACATTTTGAATCCAGGCTAACAAAAGTGAGCATGATATTTGAGTAATTTAAGAAACAGTTTGTTTCCAAAAGGTAACTAGTAACTATCTTTACAAAAGAAAACGCCCCTTATAGTAGCAATAATGCCATGTGGTCAGAGCCTCACATACCAGCCAGAAAGAGCACTTCATTTAAAAATTAAAATGGCACATACCTGTAGTCCCAGCACTCGGGAGGAAGAGGCAGGTGGATCTCTGAGTTCAAGGCCAGCCTGGTCGACGGTGAGTTCCAGGACAGAGAAAACTTGTCTCAAAAAACAAAACAAACAAACAAACAAACACTGTCTTTTTTTCTTTTGACACAGTAAAATATCATCTATTCTAAAGGAAACACACAAGTCTTTGATAGCATCAGCTGAGCAGTGATAAAGGGATCGTAGGCCAGAAAGACAGCTTAGTCAATAAAGCACATGTCATGCGAGCAGGAAGACCCAAGTTCCATCTCCCTAATTCACATTAAAAAAAAAAAAAAAAAGAAAAAAGAAAAAGAAAAAAGAAAATGCTGGGTGTGGTGGTGTGCAGTGACAATTTGGGATTCTTTAAAAAACACAGAAGTAAGAAATGTGCTTCGGGGCTGGAGAGCTGACTCAGTGGATAAAAGCTCTGTCAACTCCCAGCAACCACATGGTGGCTCACAACTGTCTATGCCTTCTACTGCCGTCTTCTGGCATGCAGGTGTACGTACAGATAGAGCATTCAAAATAAATAAAAAAGAAATGTGCTTTGCAGCAGCTGGCTCTGATTTGCCTCCTGCCCTAGCAGTTTTGCCAGCTGCAGATAGTTTCTGCCATTGTGTGACATTTGGAATTCTGGGGACTTTCAGAGGGCATATAAACGCTAGAACCCCGATAGTGAGGCGGATGGTTGGCTGCTGGCTGCTGTTGGCTGTGGCTCGTTAAGAAGAAGAAATTAGCTATCCCAACTTCAATGATCAAACCTGCCCCAAGGAGTGCAACACCCTAATCAGCAGAGCAGTCAAACAATAACGTTGCCCCCCGCCCCTTTCTCCTTTTTTCTCTCTGTGGAAGAAAAGGAGAACAAGGGTGGGGAAAGCCCGCAACGCAGTAAAAGGCTACAGTGCTGCCCACCTGTGACCCAGTGCTGGGAGGAGGGACAGAGGCTCCCTGCAGCTTGCTGGCCAGCCAACCTAGCCTATTTGGCAGTTTAGGCCAGTGACAGACCCTCTAAAGAAGAAAAAAAGGCGGCTGGTTGGTGCTTAAGCAACAATAACAGCTAGGCATGGTGCACGCTTTCAATCCCAGAACTCAAGGAGATTGCTGTGAGTTCAAGGCCAGCCTGTCTACAAATTGAGTCCAAAGGCCAAGGCTACACAGAGAAACCCTATCTCAAAAAAAAAAAGTCCTATGACATCAGCATACATCTACATGTGCAGCCACATACATCCAATTCCCACAGACAAACTTGAAGACACATACACAACGGATGCCAGATATGCATGTATATTAAAAAAAAACAACAAGCAACACACTATTCAACTCCCTGAGCAGCCTACCAGATTAAGAGACAATATACTATCTCTCTCTGGAACCATCTCACAAGAGAAGGCCTCACTAACTCCAGACAAGCAGACACCACAGCCCTTTGTGCTTGCTCCAAGTGGATAGGATATTTACATTTCCCAACGGAGCCAAAGGACAGACATGCTCTTCTCAGTGCACTGCTGGCACTGCTTACATTTGGAAAGAAAAGATCTACAGCCAGGCTTATTCGTTATTCACCTTCCTGGATTCACTGTTTACAAGTGACTCAGCAACAGACTCATCCCCCAATTTCCCAGTGCCAGAACCAAAAGGGAGTGTGTGGACGGGACCTGTACCTGGACAGTCGGGCTCAGCACTATAGAAATGTTCTGAATGTTCATTTTTGTTTCTAGTTCCTTCGCAATGACGTGGTCCATGTGCACAATGAGCCAGGAAATCAGAAGGTGGTTACATTCTGGCAGTTCCTTGAGCAAGCGCTGGAATTCCTGCACCTTCTCCAGCTCCGTGGTCCTCCCACAAGCCTCCTCAAACCGGGGCATAAGCTCTTTGGTGAGCAGATTCTCTGGAAGATCTCGCAAATACTGCTTCAGCAAGCTGGCTACGGTGTTAGGCTCATACTCTTCCAAGTTTGGAGACTCTTCTCGGTCATAGGCTGCTTTTAGCTCGTCCACCTTTGATTTGATTCCTTAAAATATTAATTTTTGTAGAGAGAGAATACCAGAAATCAGACATGCTTTCTTCACCACTACACATACCCGCTGCAGAGATACAGGACCAGGCAGGAACAACCTCTGGAAGCAGGCGTGGTGGCACACGCCTGCAATCTCAGCACTAGAGGGCTGAGGCAAGAAGACGGCTGCCAGTTCAAGGCCAGTCTGGGCTACACGGTAAGACCCTGGCCCCTCCTGAAAGGAGTCAGTCTCTGCATGTGGGTCACAGAACTCTCTAAAACACAAGCACAGAAAATCAGAACCACAAACTTAATATTCCCAGAAGCATGGTACATTAAGAAATATGTTTAATACAGGAAAAAATATGAATACAATGATAAATACAATGGCAGTTAGATAAAAATTCAAAGGGAAATGAAGCTATACGCAAGCATATACACTGTACGTGGAAAGTCGAGTTCCTAACCCTCACGAGACGGACAGTGAAGGCCCCTCACACGCAACTATTCCCGAGCTGCCACTTTGTAAACAGTTATTCTGTAATGCAGAACAAAGTTCCCAGCTAACAACCTCCGGGGAAATTGTTCTCCAATAAGTAGCACCCACCTAATTTCTATTTTAAAGTTTAAAAATTTTGTCTTTCTGGGACAGGCTTTCTCTGTGTAGTCCTGGCTGTCCTGGAACTAGCTCTGTAGACCAGGCTTGCCTTGAACTCACAGAGACTGGCCTGCCTCTACCTCCAGAATGCTGGGATTAAATTAAAGGCATGTGCCATTACTGCCTGGCTTAAAGTTTGAATTCTTTAAGTATTTTCTTAGTCTAAACCAAGCTAGAACAACAAAAAAATAAAAAATAAAGTCAAGGCTTCTAAAATACAACCATTTGGCTTTTCATATTGTACTGAAAACAACAGCACATCAGGTGTTTTTCAAACATTATATCAGATTTTATGTAAGATATAGTCCCATCTATATTAAGTGACATAATTCAGTGATGGTGATCAAAATAGCTTTGAGTTTTTTAAAACTTAAAACTGTAGACCAGCTACACAGAACAAGCTACAGACTAAGTCTAATAATGTAAACTGCCATCTAATGTGAACATTCAATCAATGTGATGCTTATGTTTGAAACTTGACATTCCATCTTACGTGCAAAACTCCAACGGCATTATAATAAACCTGTACCTTATCCAGACTGACAAAACTAAATCACTGGTCCTAAAGAGGAAGATAGCCTTCAGTCTTATTTTGAGAGAGAAAAGAAAATCCTTGTACGTTATGTTGCTGGCCATGGTCTCTGCACATAAAGTCTCACTATGTGTGGCAGAAGCTGGCCTTAAACTCAGGATGGAGCCCAGGCTAGCCTCAACTGCAACCCTGCCTCTGCCTCCTCAGGGCTGATATGAGCATGCTCCACCACAATCACATTCTATATGCATACCTCATAAAGACCTGCTCCTCTACCACAGACAGAAGAAAGTGTGTTTGCTTATTATAAAAATGTTTGTCTTTTAAAACCTGAAAACTTCAAATCAGGAATTCCAGTGAGAAATAGAATAGTGTAAAGGTACTTTTAGTGTAGCAAGTATAATGAAGCAAATACAAAACAATTCTTTAAACTGTCTTTCATACTAGCATTTCTTTGTTCGCTTCTTATTTCTCTGTGTGTGTGTAGGTGCTCTGCCTCATACTTCTGTGCACCAAGTGCATGCCTGGTGCCCAGAGGCCAAAAGGTGTCAGATCCCCTGGAACAGACAGGTGTGAGCTGGGAATTGAACTCGGGTCCTCTGGAAGAGCAACCAGTGCTCTCAGCTGCTCAGCCACCTCTCCAGCCTCTTTCAAATTAGTTTTTAAACTGGAACTGATATAAATGATAATCAAACATCTCCAGCAAAAAAAAAACTCATTATAATATTGGCATCAAATAAGGTCGGGGCTGGGGGCTGGGATGCAGCCAAATGGCAGAGTACCTGCTTCACACCGACAGGGGCCCTGCATGGAACCCTGTGCTTCAGACATGAACCCCATGCTAGCACGATGGCTGTGTCATTAGCCCTATCACTTGGCTGAGAAGCTTCCTTCACAGATCTCAGCTCCCACCGCTGAGCTTGGGCTTAGAAAGAAGTGAGGCAAGGCTTGGCACACCATCCTGCTAAGCCACACAGCCCTCATGCTTTGCTCTGCCCAGCTGTTGCCCGCTGTGAATGATCCGGGAGTAAGTCCTTATGGAAGGCAATAGCGTGAAAACCAAACACAGTGGACGAGTTACACAACCGGAAGGGCCAAGGAAGTGATTACAGTTTAGGATCCAAGCCAAAATGTTCCTCACAAGTTAATATTCTTTCATTTAGGAAACTCATTTTTTTAAACCACCAAGCAAAACGCCTGTGCCCGATACCTGAAACTCTGTAGATGCCTTCGCACTTCATGCCATGCTTCTCCATGTAATCTATACACTCTCGGAAGACAGCTGGTAACCGGACACCATCACACATCATGGTCCTCTCTACCGCATCAGCCAACGGGACGCCAAAAATGGGCTTGAGGCTCGGAACGTCGGCCTGAGGCACCTCTGGCTCCTGAACTGGCTTTTTCTTTTTCTTCTTTTCCTTCCACTGTTTAACAACATCAGCTGCTGTCAAGTCTTTAGATTTCTTTTCTTTATGCTTTTCTTCTTTGTGCTTTTCTTCTTTATGCTTTTCTTCTTTGGGCTTTTCTTTGATTTTAAAATCCTTTTCCTTCTTTTTAGAAAAACTGGGCTTCTTGAACACATGGATTCCCTTGGACCTCTTCATCTTAGAAGGACTTTCTGCTTCATCTCCTGAGCTGTCTTCCTGGAAGGCAGCATAGCCTTCAGCTGCCAAGGAAATGCAGTATAAATTGTGTTTAATGTCAAACTGTAAGAGGGGGAAAAAGGTACCACCTGGCAGTACCTATCACCTCTTGGTCCTCCAAAAAAAAAAAAAAAAACCAGCAAAAAGCAATGATGTAGTGACACTTAATGACCACATGAGGGCAACAACAGCACCATCTACAATATCAGTGTTGAGAGGAATGTAGCTTATTATGTATTACATACATACTCATATATCTATCACACAGTGTATGTACGCAAGCAGAGTTCTAAGAAACTAAGTATGAACACACATGAAACGCTAAATGTAGGAGACTAATGAGATGAACCCTATAAAACAGCGTGTGCCCACTGCTCAGCTACCCGTGGCCTGTTTGTCACTGGAGGCCATCAAGAAGCACGTTACAAGCTGCACAACTGTCCATGTGCTCCACTTACTCCACTGTCGCTCTCTGCCCTGCATCCCATCACTAGCCTTTCTGGAGCAGAGACCACACCTCCTTTAACTGAAGGCTGAATGCAATTACTCCTTCACTTTGGCTGACATATTAGAAGCAATTTTTGCATTCTGACAAAGACACTAATTACATTCATACCAATTCAGAATTGCCAGTTTGCTTCTGTGTTTGTCTCACTAGTTACCAGGCTGGCTTAAACTGGCCACAGGTGATGCTTCTATATAGGTCTCAAATATAGTTCAACTATAGACACGCATGAGTCACTGCACCTGGCAATTCCTTCCTCCTTCTCTCCTCCCCCTCTCTTGCCTGGCTACTGTTTGTTTGTTTGCTTGTTTGTTTGGAACAGGGATTCTATATAACTCTGGTTGTCCTGGAACTCACTACGTAAGCCAGACTGGCCTTCAACTCAAAGAGGTCTGCCTCTGCCTTCTGAGTTCTGGAATTAAAGGTATGTGCCACGATGCCCAGCAATTTACCTCTCAATATTATTCTCTGCATGTGTGTCCACATCAATGTGTGCTGTGTGTGCCTGTGAAGCCAGAGGGGAACAGCAGGTCCCCTGGAGCTAGACCACAGGGGGTTATGAGGTTATTGGTGCTGGGAACAAACTCGGGTCCTCTGGAAGAACAGCAAGCGCTCTGGACTGCTAAGCTATGGCTCCAGCCCTACTCTGCTGTTCTTTCAAACAGCCCCAACTCATCTATTCAGTAGATTTTATGTGGCACATAAAATGGTGCATACCTTTAATTCTAGTTCTCGGGAGGCTGAGGCAGGCCTGTCAGTGTGAGTTTGAGGCCAGCCTGCTCTCTCTATATATAGTGAGTTCTAGGATAGCCAGGGCTATGTGGAGAGACCCTGTCTTTAAAAAAAATAAATAAAAGAAATCATCAATGCAAAGGGCTTTATTTTAATAGCTAATCAACATAAAATCTTAATGCCTTGCTTTGCTAACTTACAAGTTATTTTATAGCAAAGATTAAAAGTAGTTTGCAAGTTTTTCAACTAAAACACCATAATCTTGGACTAACCTGAATGACAAAAATCTTAAGAGGAAACCAGGCAGTGGTGGTGCATGACTGCTCCCAGCACTCAGGAGGCAGAGGCAGGCGGATCTCTGAGTTTGAGGTTAGCCTGGTCTAGAATGAGTTCCAGGACAGCCAGGGCTACACAGAGAAACCCTGTCTTGAAAAACCAACCAAACAAACAAACAAATAGCTTCCATTTTCTTAAGCTCCAACTCAGCCAGTATCAATCTGTGATGAAAGAAGTGTACTCTGAGGGCAAGGATGGAGATTCCCTTTGAGGGCAGTAAAAGAAAAGACCCGTCATGCTTGGCCTCCAAGTGGTGGTCACACAAGCCAAGCCACCATCAAGTTGCAGTCATGAAATCTGTGTGTAACTTCCCAGGCAATTAATTTTAACACACTGTAAAGTTTATAAAAAGTAGTATTTAAATCACTGTATCTGCTTTTAACATACTAAACAGCCATAATTAGGCAATCAATCCTCCCTAGAAAGAGGCTCCTGGAATGAAATGCTAGGACAAACAGCTCTCACAGTACAGTAAGAGTTCCCAAATGACCACAAATCCATAAAGGGTGACTCGGTCTCGGCAAAATAATTTCTACTTTATATGCATTATTTTGAACAACCACTTTTAAAATAGAGCCTGGGAAACTTACACTTCTGAAAATTTGGTGTCTTTATTTGTGATACAAAGAAAAATCAAGAACCCACAATATAAAGAACAGAGAATGGCAAATGAGAGTATCTGCCTAGACATTATTTCCAGAAGACAACTGGGGCATGTGGTTAGAGCAGAAGTTATCTAAACACATCAAGCCAGATGTGCTGACACAGGCTGGGAATCCATCAAGAGGCCAAGGCAAGAGATTATTGTACCAAAAGCATAGAGAAAACAATACTTACTCCTTTTTTCCTTTTTCTTAAATTTTCCTTTTTTCTTCCCATGGTCTTTCTCATCATCTGATACTAAGTCAGGAGGCTCGTGGAGGATGTCATGGGGAGGAGAGGGCTCACCCGTCCTGTATAAGCCAGGAAATTTTGTAGGACTAATCTCCTCAGAGCTGGGGGTCCGGGTCAGCCCGCTGCCATGCTCTGCCCTTCGGTGTTCACTAGGGCTGCTGGTGGGGGGCAGGAAGCACTCAGTCATGCTGCTGCCCTGACAAGGAAGGGAAGTGGTCTTCTGTTACCTGTCCATTACACCTGCACGGAGGAAAAATCAGCACTGAGCACACATTAGCAAGAGCAGGACCACCGACAGTCAGCAGTGAGCCCTGCATTTACAAACAGCCTCCACCCATCTTATCGCCATGCCCGGTGTTACACACTTCAGTTCTCAGAGCCCAAAGCACAGAGCCCCCAAGCATCAGGGAGGCACAGCAGAAGAAAGCCAAAGAGGTCTCAAGGGAGATGCAGGCAGCGGTAAGCCCACCACTCAGAAGCTGGGCTGCAAGTGAGGCCAACCTGAGCAACACAACAAGCGTCTGGCTATCTCGGGCTACAGAGTGAGACCCTGTTCCAAACAATAATGAGTCCCTGTAGGGCTCCTGGGCCATGTCTCCAGGGGCATTGGAATGGGACTAGCAAGATGAAGCATGTTCAAACCCAGGAAATCTCAAATTTGAGATTTAAAATCTCATCCTGAGACTGGAAAGTAGAGAACAAAGCTCTCTCCTGTTTCTACGCCTGCCTCAGAAGCATATGACACAAACCTCGGGTGGCTACAGGTGGTCAGTCACTGGAGCTTGTCACCTGTTATCTTTCCCCATGCAAACAGAGCACTGGCAGCATCCTAAGTCCCAGCCAATGAGATGAATTCATCCCCAAAGCCCCTCCCCACTGCCCAAGGTTTATTAGTCCCTGTTTCACATGAAGGATGACAGCAACTGGCTGTTTATCCAGAGCTGTCACACTGGGGGAAATAAGGGCTCTCCTTCTCCCCGAAGAATTCATCACTGGACCCTAGCTCCCACTCAACGGCCAGACAGGCAGTCACCGCTGAACCTCTGTGGTCACTGCTAGAGCTCGGCCCTGCCATGAGCTGAGCTGCTGCTGCTCCTCTCAGCCCACTGTAGTGGCGACCTGCAGGGGTGAGCTGTTCCTGAAGCAGCAGCCTGATTCAGTCAGCCAGGCCAGGTCCTCCTTGCCACCTGACTTGGGCTCCGGGCCTTGAGCTCCCCACTGCCACCTGGCCTGGTACTGGCAGTCCAGGAAAAGGAGCAGTAACACTGCAGAAAAAAAAACCTCCCTTACCCGTACCCCACAGCTGGACTAAAGAGTTTCAATTGGTTGCTTCTTCTCTTTTACGTGGAGTACACAGAAAGAGAGAAGAGAGACAGCCGCTGTGGTGACAGCGCTGTGGTGCACACGTGTACCCTTAATCCTCAGAAATCCCCAAGACTGATGGCAATCTGAGCTACCAAACTGGGCTACAGAAGGTTCCAGGCCAACCTAGGCTGTACAGTGACACTCTGTCCTTAAAAACAAACATCAAAAAAATTCTTTGTAGCCCTGGCTGTCCTGGAAATTGTTATGGAGACCTGGTTGTCCTTGCAATCACAGAGATTTCCCTCCCTCTGCCTCCTGAGTGCTGGAATTAAAGTGTGCACCACCATATCTGGCTTGCTTTCTCTCATTTTGTTTTTAAAGACAGAGTCTCGTGTAGCCCAGGCTGGCCTCAAACTCTTTTTGTGGCCAAGGATAACTCTTAACTTCTTCTAAGCCTCCTGCCTGTACCTCCCTAGTGCTGGGATTACAGGCCTGTGCCACCAGACCTGGCTTCTGTATTTTATGATACAGAAACTAGAATGTAATAAACCTTAAAAAAAAAAAAAAAAAAAAAAAACAAGGCCAAGCACCAGTACCCCTTCCTCCAAGCCTCTTCCCTAGTGAGCCCACCACAAGCAAAGCACCCAAACATTCAAACGTCTACTTAATAAACGATTACCTGCTCCCAGAAATTCAGAAAGAGGCGGGCTCCCCAGGCTTTGGGAATCCATATAATTAGCAAACTTAGCATACCCTATGAGGAAATTAGTGGTGTTCTACTTACAAATAGAAAAACTCAGAGAGCTAAGGCTCAGAGAGCGCGATAAAGATAAAACACACATTCTTTCCACAGCACGCCCTTGTGTTTACTTTCAAAAGTATGAGAAGTAAAGACATGAACAAGACCATATGGGCTTATGAGAAAGCTGAGGACGATAGCCCAAATGCAGCAGTCCCTGAAGCACAAGGTGGGCAGGGGGATGCAGGCCACACCAGTGACCCCAAACTCCCGAGGCCAGGCTGCGGGGAGCAAGCTCCAGGTCAACAGATCACCAGCAAAGCAAAGAAGCACAGTGTACCGAGTGCAGCCTACAGGCGGAAAACCTGTGCACCCGTGAGAGAGCACACACATGTGCATGGAGTACACGCAGTCCCCATGGATACCGGAAGATGCCCTGGAACTGGAGCTACAGTCAACTATGAATTTCTCAGTGTTGTGCTGGAAACCAAACCCGTGCTGTCTGCAAGAGCAGCAAGAGCTCTTAACCACTGAGCCATCGCTCTCCAGTCCCCTACAACGTCAGATTCTGACACTCAATACCCTGTGCTGCTGCATTTTAAAAATTATATCTAGCTTACATATAATCCTGGCTTACTATTATTTTTATTAAGTTTCCATTCTAAACTGACAAAAACAACATAAAACAACAACTTTCTTGTAAAACTATCTCAAAGAATAGCTTGTCTGTGCTATGGACTAAATACCCCTCCCCCAAATGCCTCCATTATGTTCCCCTATAATGCCCAAAGTGAGACTATTACGAGGCACCATGCTTTGGAAGTCTTACAGTTTAGCTTTTTAAAAGGCAACCTGTGTCTGTCAGCTAGCTAGTTTTATGCTGACCTGACCCAAGCCTGAGGCATCAGGGAAGAAAGACTCTCAGTTGATACCATGCCTTCATGAGAGCTGTCCTACCAGCAAGCCTGAAATGCATTTTCTTCATTAGTAACTAAGGTGGGAGGACCCGTCCCACTGTGGGTGTACGGTAGAGTACAGACCTTTGGAAGGGAAGAGCTATCTTTTTAATGAGTTATCACACCGTTAGTGACAGCACTCGAGAGGCGGAGGCAGGCAGATCTCTGAGTTTGAGGCCGGCTCTACAGAGTGGGTTTGCGGCCTGGCAGGGCTGCACAGAGACACAGAGTAATAACCTCATCTCAAAACAAACAAACAATAGCTATAAGTTCAACTCATTTAGTATTTTTAAAATGTCCATTTATCAATAAATATCAACCTGGAAATGGGTGCGGTGATACACACCTTTAACCCCAGCACTTGGGAGGCAAAGGCAGGTGGATCTCTGTGAGTTCGAGGCCAGCCTGGTCGACAGAGTGAGTTCCAGGACGGCCAAGGCTACACAGAAAAACCTTATCGAGAAAAAAAAAAAAGGTAGAAACATTTCCTATGAGCAGGGAGCTGTAGAAACAGCTAAAACACAAAGAAATTAGGTCCAATTTGCAAACAGGGCGCTGGAGCTTAAGGACATTACAGTAGTATCTTTAAAACTCTGGCAGTTCCAAAACAAATGAAATTCTTGAGGGAATATGGATAAAACGAAGCTGTTTTCAGGCATTTTAAAAATTATACCAAATTTATACATAATCCTGGCTTACTATTATTTTTATTAAGTTTCCATTCTAAACTGACAAAAACAACATAAAACAACAGCTTTCTTGTAAAATTATCTCAAAGAATAGCTTGTCTGTGCTATTCTGACAAGAATAGCTTGTCAGGCAGGCCATCAAGAACGATGCTTCCAGCACGCTTCTCAAAACGTCCACAAACCCAGGCAATAGGGCTGAGCAGGAAGAAGACAGGACTCCAGCTGCACAGCCCCCAGGGGAGGCAGCAGGAAAATCGAACTGAGATCACCTAGTCCTCAGCGAAGCGTGAGAACTAGGGATTGCTATGTGTCGTGACTTGTGAAAGAGCCGCTGGGGCTGAGGGATAACAGAGTAAATGAAGCAGATAAAGTAGACCCAACCATCACCTTGGCAGAAAGAAAAAGAAACAAAACTGTAGCCAGTGCCTGACTGTATTATCAAGTAGTTGTCGAAATAATGAAGGCAGACTTAACCAAACACGGGAGATACGTCACAGAAGGCGATGAAAGCAGAGAACTGGAGCAAAGGTACAAGAGACAGAAATCTTCATCTAATGCAGTAACTACCAGGTACCTTTAAAATCGGTACCTCAAGAAATGGCAGTTTGAGAGATGACCATGGTAGCTCACACCTGTAATACCCAGCACTGGGGGAGGCAGGAATGGGGTGGGGGTGGGGGAGCACCGAGGCAGCTTTGGCAATGTACATGGCAAGCAAGACCTGATGGATGGAAGGGAGGGAGGGAGAGAGGGAAGGATGGAGGGAAGGGGGAGGGGAGGAAGGGAGAAAGGAGAACGTATATAATTGAGAAATGGAAAAAAAATTGCAAGAGAAGCAGCTGAAAGAAAAATAGTACAACTGGGAGGGTCCAAGACTGAGGCAGGAAGAGCAGTGTTCCATGGATGGGTCCCCAAGAACGGCCCAGGAGGTCATGTAACCGACACATAAGCTGTACCCAGAGCTGAGATTTATGTGCAAAAAAGGTACAAACAAAAACAGTGAAGGTGAATGAGGGAAGGCCTGAGGAAGTCGGGTTCAGGCTTTGTGATCCACATGGGCCAGATTCCATTCCTCAGCACCGGCGCCCACAGCCCTTCTGAAGGCTGATCACACAGGCAGCCAAGCCTCCACCTCCCGACTGCTCAGGAAAGCAGGTGTCCTACGTGACTGGCCCTGCCCTCTGCGTGCGGTTCAGGAGCTGTACATCGCCCTGGCCATTCGGGATGTTTTCTAGCATCCAAGGACCGAGGGCCTGTGGACTAGTCTGTATGGCTTGTGCAGCTGGCCGCAGGCTAGCCTGATGTCCGCTACAGTAGCTTCCTGCACGAGCACACAGCATGCCCTAGCCAGCCTGCATTACTTGGATTCAACTTAAAAATACAACGAACCAAACCCATGTTTCACAGAAGAAAAAAAATCGTAATTTTTTAAAAACGGTAAAAGGCACTCTAGAAATATAAACACAACTATTTTTTTTAACCCTTAGAGTGGATCAGAAATAAACCTTGAGATGAAGCGATGAGGCTCTGAAGACTTCCTGTCAGTAGTGA